CTTTGATTACGTGTGTGCAAAGCATCTTAAGGGTAAGAGTCATTCAACCGCTTTCCCTCCCTGGAGATCATCAAGCAAACACTGGGCAGCCATCTGGAAAACTTTGCATTATTTCCTTAGTGCTAGCAAGGGACACCCTGCTAAGAGCACAGAAGGATGTCTAGAGTGTTGTGTGCATAGTGTACAAGCACATGCATGTGTGGCCTGTCACTGATGATCCAGTACCTGTTTTTGTTGTTAGTCGCGAAGTCGTGTCCGACCCATCGCGACCCCATGGACAACATTCCTCCAGGCCTTCCTGTCCTCCGCCATCCCCCGGAGTCCACCCAAGCTCACGCTGACTGCTTCAGTGACTCCATCCAGCCACCTCATCCTCTGCCATCCCCTTCTCCTTTTGCCCTTGATTGTTCTCAGCATTCGGCTTTTCTCCAGGGAGTCCTTCCTTCTCATTAGGTGGCCAAGGTATTTGAGTTTCATCTTCAGTATCTGGCCTTCTAAAGAGCAGTCAGGGTGGATCTCCTCTAGGACTGACCCGTTTGATTGCCTTATGGTCCAAAGGACTCGCAGGAGTCTCCTCCAGCACCACAATTCAAAGGCCTCAATCCTTTTGCGCTCAGCCTTCCTTATGGTCCAGCTTTCACAGCCATACATTGCAACTGAGAAAACCATAGCCTTGACTATGCGCACTTTTGTTGGCAGGGTGATGTCTCTGCTTTTTAGTATGCTATCTAGATTTGCCATAGCTTTCCTCCCCAGGAGCAAGCGTCTTTTAATTTCTTCGCTGCAGTCACCATCTGCGGTGATCTTGAAGCCCAGGAAAATAAAATCTGTCACTACCTCCATTTCTTCCCCATCTATTTGCCAGGAAGTGAGAGGACCGGATGCCATGATCTTAGTTTTCTTAATGTTGCATTTCAAGCCAACTTTTGCACTCTCCTCCTTCACCCGCATCAAGAAGCTCTTTAGTTCCTCTTCATTTTCTGCCATGAGAGTCGTATCATCTGCATATCTGATGTTGTTGATATTTCTCCTGGCAATCTTAATTCCAACTGGTGATTCATCTAGCCCCGCCTTTCTCATGATGTGCTCTGCATATAAGTTAAATAGGCAGGGTGACAGTATACAGTCTTGCCGAACTCCTTTCCCAATTTTGAACCAATCAGTGGTTCCGTGCCCAGTTCTCACTGTTGCTTCTTGACCCACATATAGGTTTCTCAAGAGACAAATAAGATGGTCAGGTACTCCCATCTCTTTAAGAACTTGCCACAATTTGTTGTGATCCACACAATCAAAGGCTTTAGCATAGTCAATGAAGCAGAAGTAGATGTTTTTCTGGAACTTCCTAGCTTTCTCCATGATTCAGCGTATGTTGGCAATTTGATCTCTAGTTCCTCTCCCTCTTCTAAATCCTGCCGGTACTTCTGGTAGTTCTCGGTCCACATACTGCTGGAGCCTAGCTTGGAGGATTTTGAGCATCACTTTGCTAGCATGTGAAATGAGTGCAATGGTGTGGTAGTTTGAACATTCTTTGGCATTGCCCTTCTTTGGGATGGGAATGTAAACTCACCTTTTCCAATCCTGTGGCCACTGTTGAGTTTTCCAAATTTGCTGGCATATTGAGTGTAGCACTTTTACTGCATCATCTTTTAAGATTTTGAATAGCTCAGCTGGAATACTGTCACTTCCACTAGTTTTGTTGTTGCTCAGACATCCTAAGGCCCATTTGACTTCACATTCCAGGATGTCTGGCTCGAGGTCAGTGACCACCCCGTCGTGGTTGTCAGGGACGTTAAGCTCTTTCTTGTATAGTTCCTCTGTGTAATCTTGCCACCTCTTCTTAATCTCTTCTGCCTCTGTTAGGTTCCTGCCATTTTGGTCCTTTATCATGCCCATCTTTGTATGAAATGTTCCCTTCATATCTCCAATTTTCTTGAAGAGATCTCTGGTCCTCCCTAGTCTATTGTTTTCTTCTATTTCTTTGCACTGTTCATTTAAGAAGGCATTCTTATCTCTTCTAGCTATTCTCTGGAATTCTGCATTCAAGTGGGTGTATCTTTCTCTTTCTCCCTTGCCTTTTGCTTCCCTTCATTCCTCAGCTATTTGTAAAGCTTCCTCAGACAGCCATTTTGCTTTATTGCATTTCTTTTTCTTTGGGATGGTTTTAGTTGATACCTCTTGTACAATGTTGCAAACCTATGTCCATAGTTCTTCAGGCACTCTGTCAGATCTAATTCCTTAAATCTATTTGTAACCTCTACTGTATAGTCATCAGGGATATGATTTAGGTCATACCTGAGTGGCCTAGTGCTTTTCCCTACTTTCTTCAATTTAAGCCTAAATTTTGCAACGAGAAGCTCATGATCTGAGTCACAGTCAGCTCCTGGTCTAGTTTTTACTGACTATATAGAGCTTCTCCATCTTTGGCTGCAGAGCACATAGTCAATCTGATTTCTGTGCTGACCGTCTGGTGCTGTCCATGTGTAGAGTCGTCTCTCGGGTTGTTGGAAAAGAGTGTTTGCTATGACCATCATATTCTCTTGACAAAATTCTGCCAGCCTGTGCCCTGCTTCATTTTGTACTCCAAGGCCAAACATGCCTGTTATTCCAGTTATCTTTTGGCTTCCTACTTTAGCATTCCAGTCCCCCATGATGATTAGGACATCATTTTTTGGTGTTAATTCTAGAAGGTGTTGTAGGCCTTCATAGAACCTGTCAACTTCAGCCTCTTCAGCACCAGTGGTTGGGGCATAGACTTGGACTATTGTGATGTTGAATGGCTTGCCTTGGATGGATTAAATCAAATCTGAGTGCACTGGCATACCAGTTTCACAGATACGTACATGCAGATGAGCTCAGATTTCGCTCCCTGTCCAAGTTCCATTTGAACCCAGAATCTTTTTGTGGTTGCTAATTTTACTTCTTGGACCATGTCAGCCACTTTGGGTCATGTGTTTTCTAGCAATCTCATCAATGAGACCTTTTTACATTCCTTTGCATTTTATGCTCCATGACCTCAGAAGGGGCTTGGAGTTCAGTATCGTCTGGAAGGTCACAGGCTCTTTTCTCTTCCCTATGAAACAGCCTTTGAAACCTATTTAAGCCTATCTCCTAGGCTGAAGCAGAATTTTTTAGCAGGCCCAGAGTTGGATCTTAGTGCACACTACAAGCTATTAACTGAAAGCTTGGCTAGAGAACCGCTTGCCAATGTGGGGCCTGAAGCCCTGATTCCAACCTGACAGCTTTTCTCCACAACCCCAAAACCTCTGTACTCTGATCAACAGCTGATGAGAAATATGTAACAGATTTCCCTCTTCCTGTTACTGTGCCACATTTGGATTCTTAAAGGCCCCCATTACAGTGTGTGCAGAGTTGAGGAGGCAGGCAAAAGGGAAAGTCTAATCCTAACCCATCCCTTTCACAAACCTGCATCTCCCTTAAAAAGTCATGCACACACATACACAGCTGCAATCAGAGTTTTTTTTCATTTTAGGTTTTTCAGACAGAGCAAACAGAGGGTTTTAAAAATCCTACTTGAAGAGTGGGGAATTTGTTTCTGGGGGAGGAAATTTAACACTCCTCAGTGATATGACCCTTCAGGCCTGTTCTTACATTGGAAAAAATGTCTGTGAGAAATAAACCTTAGACTTACCATTTACTTTTATAGTGACTGACCTCATACACACACAGGGACTCTGGACAGGTTCATTCCCTAGTCAACGATTACTTTCTCTTGTACAATAGCACAGAGGATGGGGATGTTTAACTATTAGAGACACACACAAATACTGAATAGTGACATTGATTTACACAGACATGTATTATCATGGCAACATAAATGGAAGGGGAAATGCAAGGCATATAGTAAATTCTGCTGTGAAGCTCCTGCTATCATCAGGACCTCTTCATGCTACCATTTATATGGGGAAAAGAAGAATTGAATCATACAGTTAGAAGGGGCCCAGAGGACCATTGGGTCCAACACCCTGCTCGGTGCAGGACTTGAGTCTCCCGTCTAACCAGGCTTGAGAATACTCAGCTACCGAGATCAGGCAAGATCAGCATTGCTTGTTCGGTTAGCAGAGGGTTTCTCGTTAATATTTGCTCAAGTGATTTTTTTTTTAAAGGATGGATGCCATACTCAAAATGGGAGCATGCTGGGGAATTAAACTAATAGCAAGTGGTTGAAAGAACTTGGGAACAGTATCTGAACAATTATTGCAAGAAAGCTGTCGGGATAGAAAAGGGAAACCAATAATCAACGTAATTCATTATGTCACATGAAACAGAAGATGTGAAACTGTTGGTACCGCACAACTTTATATATAATTAGTCATTCCCAAACTGTACTGAATTAAGACTAAGCTTAACAACTGCACAGTTCCCTCCTCCTTCCCTCCCTACAGTCCAGGAACGGAAACACCACAGTGTAACCTCCATATGTGTATCAATCACAAAAAGGAGTAAGTGCATTTTTTTATTGTGCTGTTTTATGTTTGCTGCCCAGCTGCTCTCTTTTTTCCACAGCTTGCAACCTGTTTTCTTTAACAGTTTTCCTTTCTGTTTTGTGCTTATCTAAAGAGCATATTCCATTAATGTCATTAGCCTGCATATCGTAAGCGGAACAAAGCCCCTTTGAGTAAAGATTACAACAAATTCCACTGGGAAGGAACCGTATGGGGCCACATTCCAGTTTTGGATGAAACCAAGGGCAAAAGTGGCACAGTCAGAATACAAAAACTTGACCGTATTTGATTTTAAAATCTTACTGTGCATAACTAAGCCTTAAGAGAAGTACTTCAACATTCAGAATAGGGAACAACTCCACAGAAACTTGGAAACCATGGATGATCGTTGGAAAGTGGGTGGAACCAGAGGACATAGGCATGGCTATCAGGGCAATGACTGGATCCCGCCCCGCAGCTCTGCTGTTGCCACAGTTCTAAGCGGTACTCCCCTTTTATTTACTGAAATAGTTTGAAATAATTTACCATGACTCCATCTAAAAATGTGACCTGTTTATTGTAAATGAGAAGCATTCATAACAGTGCAAACAATTCTTTGGTAGATTTATTCAGTACAATAAAATAACTAAGATTTCACTTTTGGTAGGAGTTTTAAAAAAGTAAATAAATATGGAACAATCACAACTGGAGAAGTACTGAGAAAATGATCATTCAGCCATTGGCCACTGTCTAAAAATTGTTATATGATCTTTTAATCAGCAGAAAATGTAAAAACAGATTCATTTGTACTATGTTTGTTTTCTTTTAAAACTTTGGAATAAGACCTATTTCCTAATCCAGTTTACCACCAGCTTTTTAGTAGCAATAAAAGCTGGAATTTATATCATTTTACATACTATGAACAAACACTGATTAGACATCTGCTTTATTTCAACAAGGGAAACCAGAGGTATGTTTGTTTAACACATACACTGAAGAGATATTCATAAGTGAGTAAGGCTGCAATCCTATGCCAACTTTCCTGGAGTAAACCCCAATGAACTCGACAGGAGTTACTTCTAAGCAGGCATGCATAGGATTGTACTGTAAAATACCTGAGCAGGTTGTGTGTGTTTTAGCAATACAGCTTTGGAAATAAATGGTGATTAGTAAGTCTTTAAAACTAAAACTGGTTCTATAAAGCCAGCAGCATGCTTTAATTATGACACTTACCCTCATTTTGAAATCTATCCAAATGTGTAGGAATTTTAGTAGTAGCCTGAGAGTTTCAGCAAGAAGAAAAGATGTGATCTGAATGACTGGAGAATTTAAAATAATGAGTGATATATAAAATTTGTCTTGTGCTCCAAAAGTCAAACCTATATATAAAAAAATTGCCTTACAAGGCAATCCTGTACATGTTTATCTGGATGTAAGTTCCACTGCATTTAGTGGGGTTTACTCCCAAGAAAGTATGTACAGGATTGCCAACAATAGGATTTGTCATTTCGTGCATACTCCTGACAATTTTTCTGAACACCTTACAGATTCTGCTGCTGTTCCCACCAAACAAGTAACTTTTTAAGAGTGCATCATTTCACTTTTATCAAAGGAAAAATGAAGACTGCCAGGGAATTATTAAATTGACACCTGGAATATTATAGAAGCTAAGTGCATATATTTGGCACACAGCATTTAATTCTTTTAATTCCCAGTTCCTAAATCCTATTAATTTGAACTCTGCTAGAGTTTTCCCAAACTGCAAAACGAGTTCAGACTTCAAGAAATAGAGTTGATTTCATAAAATTAAGACACTGTTTTATGGATTAGCACCATCAACAAAACCAAATGTGCCTGTCCGATGAGGTATGAGTTTTCCTTCACTGAGTGTAAGAATACAGTTTGGTTATAAAGAGGCAATATTGAAATTAAAAACATAACAATGGCTAGTTTATGTGGACAAACATTCTACAATGTTTTTTAAAAAATTAAGTGGGCAACACAGATTTGCAAAATAGTACTCATTAACATGTTTTTGACACAAGGAACACAGTGAAAAACTGATTCTATGAAAAACTAGGAAACCTTGAAAATGGTTTCTTTTTAATGTTAAGGAACAGCTGATCCCTGCTAAATGCTGCTGTCTGCTGGATTTTCCACCATAGAGCCTATCATTCAGTGCTCCTATAATCTTCCCCTCCCATTTATTTTAAAGAGACCAACACTTTAGGGGGCTTTAGCAGCACTTTGGGGCTTATTGCTTGTCATATAAGGATTGGGGCATAACTACAGCTTTCTTTTTCACATTTTCACAATAGTGCTATAGAGTGCCAGGCACATCAGTCTAAAAGAGGATCCACACACTGGGCAAGAAGCATGTTGTTTTCCACTGCCGGGGAGGGCAGGAATAAGGCACCTTTGCAAACTGTACTATGGGCAGAAATATAACAAACAAAGCTTTCCACATCTTTGCACCTCAACGCCAGGAAAGGCTGCAACAATTGGCAAATTACTGTCAAAGGCACTGGACCCTGAAGTAAAAAAGGGTGCCAAGAGGTACGGTACAATGCGGGATTAGATCTGAATCGGTCCACATCATGTCTTTGGAAAGGGTTCGTTCGGGTATGACGCAGAACTTTGAGGGATGAACATGCAATTATTGAAAAGGCTGCCTTCGGTGGTTACACATGTTAGATGCCCAAATGAGTGGTTAGATACAGTTCTTTTTTAAAAATAATCACTTGGTTTATTTCTGTGCTGCTATCCATCTTTGCCTGAAAGAAACAATAAAGGAAACATTTATTTGTTCCTTTCCTTGTCTGTGCATGTTCCTTTCCTTGTCTGTGGGAGTAAAGCATTATTAACTATGAAAAGCAAAGAGATCTTCCTTATAAGCAACCTTGATTCTGTATAGCTCAGAAAAAAACAGCTACACATTTAAAGTTGGGCACAGATTCTTAAATCCTTGCAATTAAAATCACGGTGTCATATACGGAAATGTGCTCTTGAGCCAAGCAGGGTTATGCAGCACCTTGCAGTGAGTAGCATTATAGTAGCCATGCCACAGAGTCAGGTCTTCTCCACCTGGCTGCAGAACAAGGGGTTGCATGAATCAAGGAAGGCGCTCTAGGAGGAGCCGGCTTAATTTGTGCTAAGATTCAGCACAGATCCTTTTTCAGTGACGGGGTTCAACCACGCCACACAGGCATTCAGGTAAAAGAAGGCATCCCTGAGTAGGTGGAAATGTTACCACTAAGTAACTTTTCATACCCCAGGGATTACTGGGATATTTTTGTGCTTAAACCAGCTGAACAGCGTTATTTCCTCTCCTCCCTTGTATAGCAACCCCCATAAACTCTCATTATATCAATAGAGATTTGGATTTGATTTTGGGAAGTGCAGAGAGCTGCAGAGGGGACAGCAGCAGGAGGAGGAGGAGGAGGAGGAGGAGGAATTGTACTTGCACAACACTGGATTCTGCTCTAATTTTCTAAAAATTAAGCTCAGAGTGGAAGCAGTTTGTCAGTACCGCTGCAGGAAGTCCTCTGGTTTGCGGTGCTGGGGATGGGAAGCATTCCTCCCATCCTTAGATGTGAGATAAGGACATCCTGTATGTTCCAAAACAAGCAATATTCTTGCACAGGAAAAGGATAAAAAGTATAAATGAAGCATAGAAGGGACAGAAAAATCAGGCAAGTCACTAGCTCAAGCTAAAAATAAGCAACAGCCAAGGCAGTGATCCTACTGGGCCAAGAAATATCATTTTCTTCAATAGCTAAAAATAGGTTTGTATGCCTTTTGTTTTCCAGCAGCGCCTTTCTCACATATGTATGTATACTTGATAATTACATATTGTATTATTTTGCACCACATTACATTTTTGCAGCAGGACTCAGTGGGATGTTAACACACATTCAGGTACATGATATCTATTAATCAAGCAGGGTAATGGCAGTGCATGGCTAGGAGAAGACTTTAATATTGCCAGGGATGTGGAAGTGATCTACACCAATATTAAGGAAGTCTCATGGTCCTTTAGAAGTGGCACTGTCACAGGAAGTAGGGGCAAGTAATGCTGCACTGAGATCACGCCATTCAACCTATGTTGAATGCTACTGTCAGAAGACCTCAGGTCCAAACTAAACGATTAGCTAATTATGCACAGTGCATAAATCTTTCTCCCCATTGCGTAAGTTCACAGGGCCCCAATTTGGATTTGGACCATGATGCTTCAGGAGAGGGCCAGAAGGGATTCAACCTGCTTCCCATCTATTTTCCCCCAAAAATTTAAAAAGAAAAAATGGCTTTCCACTGTCTGCAATGGATTTGGAGGGAAATTAGTGAGATAAAGTTTTAAGCCTCCCTTCCTAGAACACCAGGGTCCCAATTGAATCCATGGCCATGTGTGCTTACACAGAAGAAAACCTATTCTGTAGAGTTACACTATATTATCGCTATATGTGATCAGTGAAACATTTAATTTGGCCTGCAGGCCAACTCTGTCAGGGTCTGAGATGGCTGGCAAGCTAGGCATCAACAGGGCCTGGGCGGTATGTGTCATACTTTGAAAACAAAACTGCAGCCCTCTTTCATCCAATTAAATGAAACCTGACTTCTGTCCACCAGTGTATGAAGAAATAACAATGGACTGGGAGCCTAAAGCCACTTGACAAAGGCTTCTTTAAAAAGTAGCACCAGTTTTCAGTTTGTTGAACCTGAGAAGTTTTAACAAAAATTATCTTGACCTGCGTTGTGTATTCCCTTTCAGTACTCATGTTTTTGCAATGGGCAAGCAAGTAAAATTATACATTTTCTAACATGATTACACCATCTTTTGAATGCTGTCCGGTAACATCTTGACTTGCTGTTATGGTTTTAATCCTATTGTTGCTTGTATTTGCCATCAGCAGATATCCGTACGTGACTGTTGCAAAGCAGACTTAGGGTTTATTTTCCTTGGTAGCAGTTTGTTTTAAACAGACAGGACAGCAAACTCCTTTCAGCTTCATCGGTGTAGCACAATTATTTGGTGGACACGATTCCACATAACAGGTTATCTGGCCAACCTGTGTTTCAAGAACCATAGCATTAGTTCAACACCTGATCAATGCATACAACATTTGCATTATTCAGGAACTAGCTCCTATGAGCGATATGATGGCTTAAGTTACTGATACAGAAACTTTGACCACGACACATCAGTAATCCCAGGGGAGTTCACTAAAGATACAATTCTATGCAGCTTCGCACACAAAGAAGGCCTACAACTTCCCACATGTACTATGGTCTAGTTTCCTACTGAACCAAAGCAAATATTAGATTTTTAATCTAATGGTTATTAATGTTAAGCCTATATAAAGGAATTGTCCCTAACTCACAGGTTTGCCTATGTCATCACAGATTAACAATGCAATCCTATGTATAGCAGAAGTAAATTCCATTGAACTCAATGGGGTTTACTTCCAGGAAAGTGGGTACAGAATTGCACTATGACATCAACTTTCAATGAACACAACAAACAGGGAAGCTCTTCTCAGCAGTGCAGAACTACATTTACAGAAATGGAGACATTAACCAACTACTAATTTATCGTGAAAATAATCAGTATACATTTGTAGTCCTATGTATCCTGCAGGGGCATAAGCACCACTGCAGTAGGACACCTGCCCAAGCAAGCATATGACTGGGATCCCATGCACATTAAACCACTGAAATGTACATCCTTCCTACTCACCTTGCATTCACACCTGGTACATGGGTCTTTTTTCCAAGTTTCATTCCTGGAATAAGTTTTACCCTTTTCATCAGTGCATTCAGTTCTACTGAGCCGTGATTCAAGTTTCTTTATCTGAAGACAAGAAAATTTTGTTTATCCATAATTAAGTTATCTCCCAGTAATTGGCTAACCAGGCTGCAATCAAAGCCCACCATCCTTCTTGGAAGAACTGAACTGCTCATGCTAGGCCCTTTTACTTTCAACCCACATTGTATTCTCAAAACAATTCTGCATGGTTGGTTAGACTGAGAAAGAGTTGACTGGTCTAACATTACCCAGAGAGCTTCATCACTGAGCGGGGATCTGAACCCAAGTCCAAAACTTAACCGCTATATCACAGTGAGTGTCAAGATAATGTCTTGCTTCAATGAAGCATCAGAAAGCAGCAATGAAAAACCAATTATATTTATGTCATATATTCTATTGGTACATTCTCTCAATGACTGCAAAAGTAAGTTTTCAAGTACTTAATATGGTTGGAATAAATATTTTCATTTAAACTGCATATAAGAAAGCATATCTTTAAAACCATGAGGTTGGCTCTTAAGGTGCCATTCCATTGAACAGAAGGACATTTGATCAATTCCAAGTATTTTTTGCCTACGATCCCCCTACTTGCAGACCCTTGGATACCTTCCACATTGGTGCAGAGGGTCTAGCAACCCTTTAGAAACACAAGAGACTCGAATCGGTGATAGCTTCACCTCCCTTTCATTAGCAGGTCCTAGGAAGATACTTTTAAATGATTATATTAAGTACCACTGAACTTAATCAAACTAACTGAGTAGATGTGTACAGGACTGCACTGTTTTATACTGCAGAAATATTTTCTGTGCCATATAGTCAAGATTATCTACAAAATGTTCTATGTTCACCTGATTTCTGAGGTCTGTAATTGTTTTTTGCATATCTCCAACAAATTCTTTGAAGTCATTCATCATAGGTGATTTCTTGCGCTCATCAAAGGAAGTAGAGCTATTGAAAAATGTATTTTCCCTGGCAAAACTGCAACAAGAAAACAAGTAACCAATGTATTGAATAAGAGCATGTGCAATCCTTTTTAAATTGATGTTTTCGTCACAATTGTTGGAGTACCGAATAGGCATGTGCAGGAAAGCTGGTATGCAGAATGGATTTTGTGACCTGGCTTCTTGAAAGTGGTAAGTTTAAAGATAGAGAATACCACTGCAGAAATCTAGTGTACAGAGGCAGGATTGTCCTGCCGATGTGCAATTACACTCAAGCTTAGCCTGCTTCGCAGCACTGTTTGCCATTAATCAACTACAAAGGGGGAGAGAAAAAGTACAACAGCTTTCACTGTTCACTAAACCATCAAGCATTACAGGCACGAAGGATGTACATTTCTCTACAGATCTCTGTAACAGGCGAGAGGAAGGCTGTCTTTTAAAAATGACGACAGCAACAACAAGAATGGTGCACTCGGTGGGGGGCTGTGGTCTGACTCGGGGTCCTCACAGAGCAGATGTGCCCAGTGTGATACCTTCCAGATGCCTGGGACTGCATGTCTAGCATCCTGGGCCATTGGCCCCACTGCCTGGAGCTGAGGGGGCTTCAGGTCTAGAACATTTGGAGGAAACCGTGTTGGGGAAAGCTCATCATGCGTGCATAACACATGCATGCGACCAAAAGAGGCTGTGGGGCTAGTGGGGGAGAAGTATGGTTGCTGAGTATTGTGGGAAAAGAGCTGGCAGATGTAGAAGGCGCCCTGCAGAAAAGTGCTTTTGCTCGAGTGCAGCGTGACAAATGCAACAGGCCCTGAATGTAACTCAACTTGGCAGTCTGGCCAAAAAAGCTTAAAGGTGCAATTCTAGGCAGTTTTAGGCAGGAAAAAGTCCTATGGTGGGGGACTTTGTCTAAACTTGCATAAGAATGTACCATAGGTGTGTTTGGATTACTTATCTAGCTTTCTCCATCTATTGCTCAATCAGATTTAAGTGTCTGAATGTCTCAGTTCTTGTCCAGGTTGATTCAGAAACAGATTAGTTTGATTTGTTTTTTCACTCCTTGACAAGGGAAGTGAAACATCCCGTTAGCACAGCCTTTCTGTCATCATCCTGGTCACTGAGGCATTGAATTCATCCATCCCTGTCCAAGAGGTGAGATGGCAAATCCCCAGTATTGAATGTTGGAAAGTTAAGCAGAGACAGAACAAAGAACCCAGTACTTCTTCCTCTTTCGTGTTTCCTGGTGGCTAAGACATGCTGGAGCCACCTCAGCGTCCAGGGAACACATTTCTGCTGCCATTTTGGAAAGGCGTGAAACAAGTAACTATTGTTAGCCCACTGCAGCACTAGCTGAAGTAACAATGAAACAAGTAACGAGCAAGCATGCAAGCCTTGGGTCCTGCTTGGTAGTCCCATTTCTGCTGGAGAGTGAAGACAATTATCCAATGATCCTACACTGAATCTAAAATCTGCTGTTTTTATCCATGTTGAATAACCCGACTGAGATTGCTTGGTTACACACTTATCTCAATAAAGGTAATTATTCATGCCCATAGCAGCAACAGGAGCTTAAAGCTTTGACTGGGATTAAAAGGCTATTTCTAGGCTTTCCTCAAGGCTGGTACTTATTGCAGGGTATATTTGTTGGCCTTAACAAATGTAACAGTGACAATTTTGAAAGATTAGTTTGTTCCATTTAAAATGCCATGTAGTCTTTGCATCCCATGCAAACAGAACAGAAATCTAAAAAACGGCACAAAAGGGATGCAAACCCCAGCTGTGGCAACTATTTCTGGTTGCGGTATTTAATACCAACAAGATGCTGATTTAATAACGATGAATAGATAGAATCTGCATAGGAAAGCTATAAATGATAATTTCCCCAATAGCTAGATATTTTGAAAAAGGAATTGCTGATACGTAATTCTTCTTCAATATGAAGGCTTAGCATAAACCTTACTGGGTACTGAAAAATAATACTAAGTAGCAGGGGCTCTCTTTATTGAGCTTTATATTCCTTTGACTTAAAAATAAAAGTCAGTATTACATTCCTGGATTTCAATAGACTAGCAAGCTGCCTTTCTAATAAATGGTTTAATCTTCTCCCCATGCCTTGTTGCTGATAGTAAGAAAGGATGTGAAAGCCGGTCAAGATAAGGAAAAAGATTGCCAATTTTAGCATATATATGCTAAATGCATGCACTACTATTCTCCAAATATTATAGAATGAAATTCCCTATTTCAACAAAAGCACAGTTATTCTGATTTAATTATGAAAAAACCCTTAGAAATTCTTGAAGCACAGTGGAAGGCTTGATTCTAAGCAGCAATGAAGCAACCTTAAGATCCAGAATAAGATCTTAATTTTCCTTGTGGCCTGCGGAACCCTGTGTACTGTGCTGGGGTTTGGAAAAAGAGGAGCACAGGCTTCTAGCTCATGTGACCATCTGAAAGGTGGCCAAAATAGACCAAAGTTTTCTAAACTGCTAATCTGTACTGAGATATCTGGTGACAGCACTCACTGCCTTCTCCACATCCCATCCAAGAATGAGATTGTACCACCAGAGAAAAGAGTGGTAATTTTACTTCTGGCAGTTACATAACACCAAGTTCTATCTGATTAGCTCCTCCTGCCAACAGGATAGCTTCCATAAGCACAGTGGAGAGGGAGACTGTTCTCTTTCTGTCCTGTACCTTGTCCTCAAACTCTACTTTGGGAGAATGGGGACCCTCCATAGCAGATTTGGGGGTGGGATGCCAGGGACTTCCACTGAGAGGAGAGGAGAGGAGAGTTTCATTGTTGCAGTCTATCCAGCCAACACTGGATTTCACCCTTCATACTAAAGGAACAGTAGAATAAGGATTTCTATTGCACAGAAGCAAATTTGCTTCTAAACATGATCATCAATGTAAATAAGAACCTAAGGTTTGCTCTTCCTGTAGCTGACAGAAGTATGTATAAACAAACAAGAAAGCAGCAATGAGAACAAACACGGGGTATCCAGCTCAGTGCCTGTGGGGACCAATGCACCTCCTTTCCTAGCATACCACTTCCACTCAAAAAGAAAATTAAGACATTTTGCTGTGAAATGTATTTCAGTTCTGCAGCTGTGGATTTGGATCAGCTGTGTAGAGAACAGGGCTCAGAACATTCCCCCAGAGATCCGTCTCTACCCATGTACACAATATTTCGGGCAGATTAATTGTCCTTGTCCATGCCTCTCACCGTTTTATGGTGGGGCCAAGGATGGTTTCTGAAATTGTCAAATGTGCCCAAAAAGGTTGCCTGACCCTGGAATAAATGATAGAACCAGTTTAGGATTGTCTCACAGTCTTCATTTGTTTTCATTCTCTTCTGTCTGTTGTCCCCTTTTTACCTCTCACTTGAAACATACATATATTAAAACACTCACTCAGAAACAAATGAAAATTGAAGACTTAGTGAATGACTTGGTCACTATTTGTAAATGTTAAAATATGAACACTATCAAATGTTTATACTGGCTAATTTCCAAACATTGGACTTATACAAGAGAGGATTACCGTCTTTATTTGTTAAGAGATGGACACAGTCCTAAAATTCACATGCTGAGGAACAAATGATAAATTATAGTATTAAAAAACCTCTGTCTTACAGGCTACCAGAAAGTAATATGTTGCAATAACAATATATGTTTACAAATTACAATTATTTTAATACTGTTTACCTTGTTGTTCTTGACATTTTCATGTGCTTTGAAGGCTTGTCTTCATGGAAACTATAATCAAGAGAACGTCGTCCTCGGAAGTGGTATGAGAATGCATTGAATTGTCCTCTAGTTCTACAGTCTGAAATGAAGCAGGATGTTATAAAATATAGATGAAGACTGTATCATGCCCAGTAAAATGTAAGAAGCTTTTAACAGTCCCTTCTTCTGGCATGGAAAATTATGTATGCAAAAATGAAATATAATTCCCTCCCCACAAATCTTCCAGTGAAACATCTAGTGCCTTTGAAAGATATTGAGTGAAAATAGAATTAAATTGTTATAGTAGACTTGTGCCCAGGCACCTTACTTTGACTGTTTGGTGTCAAAAAGATCCCTTTTCGGTGTTTCAAAAAATCACCTTCTTCTGTTTCTTTGGATTAATCAAAACTGAGCTGTAAGAGTGTGTGTGTGTGTGTGTGTGTGTGTGTTGGTCAGAACTGGACAGTATTTGCAAGCACAGCAGTCCATTAGGCAACCCAGGATCCAACCCTTTGCCCTGACAAATCACAAATAAACAACATGCAAGATAAGCATAGAAAATGAAATGGTCTTGAACAGTAGGGGAAGTGCACAACTGTAGGGCTGTTGAGAGCTTTCTTGTTATCAGGCATCCTACTGAGAGTGGAAAGCCTTTTGTAGCACTGGGTATGTACTACAAAAGGCCAAGTGAAAGATTATTCATTTCCATTTTTCACCTGAAAGCATGACTCTGACGAATCCTTTTTCAGGCAGCATCTCTATGCAGATCTGTGGTCTGAGAGGGCTGATGTGGTGCTTTAAGAAACACATTTAAAGGATAAAATGGGGCTATTTAAACCACCTTGGGTTCCTCACGAGAAAAATAGCAGGATATAAATGCATTGTAATGCAATTATAATAACGCAAGCTTAAAAAGGAACATTTATCAGTACTTAGGGAGCAAACCAACAGAAAAGGAGCTGACATATTGAGAGAGAGAGAGAGAATCTGATATTAGAACAATAATTTTGTGGTGAGAAGTGTTGGCCACAGTAGTACCCTTCTTCCATAATTAATTAAAGCCAAACATAGGATTGGTTCCTGGGTCCTGAAGGTTATTAATGCCTCTCTGAGGGACGGCCAGGTGCCCGCTCCTTTAAAGGAGGCGGTAATCAGGCCAGTCCTAAAGAAGGCGCCCCTGGATCCAGAGGTGGCCGCCAATTATAGACCGGTGGCCAACATCCCGTTCCTGGGCAAGGTGCTAGAGCGGGTGGTGGTGGGACAATTCCAAGCACTCTTGGATGAGACTGATTATCTGGACCATTTCAGTCCGGCTTCAGACCCGGGTACGGCACTGAATCTGCCTTGGTCGCCCTGTATGATGACCTGTGCAGGGAGAGAGATGGGGGAGTGTGTCCCTGTTGATCCTCCTGGACCTCTCAGCGGCTTTTGATACCATCGACCATGGTATCCTTCTGGATAGGCTAGCGGGCCTGGGAGTAGGTGGCACTGCTTGGCAGTGGTTCCGCTCCTATCTCGATGGCCGATTCAAAAAGGTTATGCCATGGAGTATCGCAGGGGTCCATTTTGTCCCCCTTGCTGTTTAATATCTACATGAAACCACTGGGAGAGGTCATCAGGAGATGTGGGCTGCAGCGTCATCAGTACACTGATGACACCCAGGTCTACCTCTCTTTTTCAACTAACCCAGGTGAGGCAGTGGCTGTGCTGAACCAGTGCCTGGCCAAGGTGCCTGGCTGGATGAGGGCCAATAAACTGAAATGCAATCCAGATACGATGGAAGTTCTGTTGGTGGGTGATTCGAGCGCCTGGGTAGGTGACTTGGGCCTTGCCCTGGATGGGGTTGCATTCCTTCTATAGGACAGGGTCTGCAGCTTGGGACTGCTCCTTGATCCGGAGCTGTCCTTGGAAGCTCAAGTGACTGCGGTGGCGAGGAGCGCTTTCTTTCAGCTTCGGCTAATCCATCAGCTGTGTCCCTACCTGGAGGAAGATTGCCTAGCAACAGTGACACATGCATTGGTTACTTCCCAGTTGGATTTCTGCAATACGTGGGGCTGCCCTTGAAGACAGCCTGGATACTTCAGATGGTGCAAAACAGAGCTGTCAGAATGCTGACGGGGATTGAGCGTTATTCTCATATAACCCCAGTCCTCTATCAGCTCCACTGGCTTTCCATCGAAGTCCGGGCTCAATTCAAGGTGCTGGTTATTACCTATAAAGCCCTAAATGGCTTGGGACCTGGATACCTAAAGGAACGCCTTCTTCCCTATTTGCCCTCCCACCCCCTGAGATCGGCAGCAGAGGCCCTCCTCCAGGAACCCTCTGTGAAAGATATTAGGAGACAGAGTACCCGGAGGAGAGCCTTCTCTGTGGTGGCACCCCGTCTATGGAATGAGCTCCCCAGAGAGGTCCACCTGGCGCCGTCATTGTAAGTTTTTTGACTTTTTTATTTGATCAACATTTTAATAAGTTTTAATATTGTATTTTTACCATTATATTTTAACCGCAGCCAGAGTGGGTTGATAATTCAATTTATTTATGTTTGGTGATATGTGTATTTTATCTTTGTAAGCCGTCCTAAGGCTTTTGCAAAGGACAGCATTTTATGTTTTGAGTTCTTCTAGCTTCCAAAGACAAATAAGCACATGCTTTTATACTGTTTGTTTATGTATTCATTTATATGACAAGAAAAAACGATAAACAACAAAAAATCCTTATCTATGAGAAGTGGGTGGTGGGGCTGGTGCAGGGCGTGTGGGGGAGGGGATAGTTACTGCTTGCTCCTGTGCAGCATATTTAATTTCATCTGAAAAAGTATACACTGTCCTTCGAAAGTAAACTGGAAAGTGTGCGTGTGTGTCCTCAGACATACCTTCACAGCAATCTTGCCACATCCTGAGATCCACCTTAGGAATTGAATCACAGCTTGCATATCCATGTGGGTATTCAGCCACTCTGAACACATCATGTTGCACTCTGGTTATGTTGTCGCCATTGTCACACAGAATTCGAGCGAGGGACGACTGCTTGATCTGTGTCAACTGAGCAGGAGTAAACACCCCAGGGTTCTCATGCCATAACCTGTGGTCTCACGTAAAGGAAGAGTAAATTCTTAGACGTCAATAATATAAAGTTCTAGGACAGGGGTCCTCAAACTTTTCCACCAGGGGGCCAGCTGAAAGATGCCAGTGCTGGGCGTGGGCTGGAATGGTGGTGCCGGTGGTGTGTGCGGGCCAACAAGGGTGTGGGGGCGGCGCATGCGCGCGGTCAGGCTGGGCAGGCACGAGCAGCAAGGGGAGGCAAGAGGAGGCGGGGGGGCATGTGCCGTGAGGCGGGTACACAAGGCAGCAGCTTGCTTGCTTGCTCAGAGATCGTTTTCTCTGAGCAAGCAAACTGCCGCCTCCCATGCATGGGGCAAGATGGGTGGCGGCGTGTGTGGGCACACGCATGGTGGGTCCAAATGGGCATGGTGGGCCGGATCCGGCCCCTGGGCTGTAGTTTGAGGCCCCATGTTCTAGAAGAATGCAATGTTCAAAATTATGCAGCACATATGACTGAATGCATATTCATATAAATGGTATCAAGAAAGTACCAATGTATTTAATAGCATAGTTGCTTCTTACATTATCATCTCCTTGATGGGTTAGTTCTCCTGACATATTTATCAACTCCATCATATTCTCTTAAATGATTAAACATCATGGCTCATCGTCCTAGTTTACATTTTAATGCAGCCTGAATAAATTCTAACTTAACCCGAACCTTAGATAACTGAAACAACTTGCAAGATCTCAGTGGTGCAATGTGCAACAGTAAGAAATTAGAAGCGACCTGTTCAATACATTCAAAAATTGTATTCACAAACTGTCTTCCCAGTGTGGAGCCCTCATTTTCGGGCAACGGCTGGCCAGGGTTATTTGAAGTTTAGACCCTAAAACACTAGCCATAGTTTATCTGAATGTTGTCTAATCCTCATACTCACTCTGCTGCCAAGGTTTATATGACACAAGACATGCAATGATAGTATCTATTGGTACTGGGCATGATGTCACAGCCCCCAAAAGTAGATTAATCCATGGTGGGGCATGTTATAAAGCAGGTCACTGTGCCTGATTACTCTTAAAATTGTAAAATTACTGGTTTTACACAAAACTTACCTGTCTCCATCACGAAGACGTTTAAATTGTGTGCTCAACAGACACATCAATGTTGGTCCCAACCTGCTACCAGGAACGAGATCTTCTACCATAAGAGCAGGAAACAAATCTATGTTCAGTGGTGAACCATATAATCTATGACAAGAAAAATAAATGATTATGTATGCTCTATGTGTGTGTGTGTGTGCGTGCGCGCACACACATATGCCCCCCGCTTTTTTTATCGATATGTTGCAAGTATGCGATGCTTGTTAGGGTCTAGTCATAGTACTGCAGTGGGCTCTGTAATGTGGTCTGGGAGAGTCTGGAACCCAGTCCAGCAGTGCAAAGCCCAGGGCCTAAGACTCTGGCTGTGCCCAGTTTTCATATAATGCAAGAAGGCCTTGAATGGGACAGGGCGGGGCGGGGGGGAGGTCTAGTTTGGGCTGTGGAATATCAGAATCCATATGAGCCTATCTCTGTCAGTTTTCTCAGTCCCTCCCACCCAGCTTCTAGTTTTTGACTATATGTGTAATATTTCCATGACACTGTTATAGGGGAAAGAGTACAGGGGTTATCAGAGGTGCTGCCGAGGTCAATGCACTTTCCCAAGAGAACAGACTAGAAATGCCGTCTGGCATGGATAGTCCAAGAATGTCTGCCAATTAGACAGGTTGGAGATGTGCTACTGCAGTACCACCCTTGCTATTCAGCAGATGCTCAGACTGAGATCCCATGCTGGGGACATCATTTCTACTGACCATCCTTTCCTGTCTGTTGTTACCTGTGGCCCTTCATGGGAGGGACCTGTCTCTGAGCAGCAGGAAACACGTCTCACCTAATCTATTGCACCTGAATCATGCCTGATCTGTGTATCATGAAGGACCTGGAAGGTATTGCTGTATTTTTCATAGACCCCAAATACCTGTTTGATAGGAGTTGTGCACCTTTGTCTTCGATAACCTGGAGGGTCTGCTGGTTTGGACTGATCAGGACTCTTGGATATTTTACATGCTTTGGCCCACATAGCCGAGTTACTGAAGTGGAAGTGATATTCATCTAAATCTACGTGTGAATGTCTTTACTTAGCACCTCCTCCTGAGCCTATACTTTCACCCTAGTTTTGATTGGTGGCATGAAGATTGCAAGTGTGGACAAATCTCTTTTTGTATGAATTTACTTAGTTCTTCTTCTGGAAACTTTGTCTTTGCCTGGGATGCTTTTTACCAGGAATCATTCAGGCCCCATGCCCTGCATTCTGCACTGTAGAGATTGCAATGGGAAACCACATTGTATCGATCAGTTACACTCATTAGCTTTGGACTGTTCTCTGAATTAAATCTCAGTATAACTAACTGAGAACAGTTATGATTTATGGAGAGCTGCAATCATTGAGCTTTTGCAAACAGAGCTGAAATGCTTGTTTAAGAAACCTGATTTGTTACTCGAACAGTTTTTACTACTTCTGGTATGTCATATTGGCTTATCAGAGCTTGTTTGAGTCGAAAGATGGGCACAGAAGAGCTGCTGTATCCAAGACTCATGGTGTTAAGCAGCACCTACTAGCAGGAACCTGCTGTGAATTCTGCTAACCTGCCCTATTCCAGAAAAGATCATTTCTGCCTGTTTGCAGTTGCCTTAAAAAACAGCTAGCACTGCAGGCGGCTTACCATGGAACTTGTTGCTATGTGGGCAGCGCAGCATACTGCCCAGATACTGCCCACCCAAAGGATCTATCTATTTTAACAGACAAACCAAACCCGCCTGACAAATTACACCATTACCAGGAAAAGGGGTTAATCTGCTGACCCCAAACTCCTGGTCCCATAGTTTTCTCTAGCCATGACCTTCATGTGCAGATGTTTGCAGAGAAAAAACTTTAGGTCTCCTGGGGAAAAAGCGCACACCTTGGGGCATGGGACAGTTATGCAGAACTGTTCCCCTGTAGCCACTAGATGCAAATAAAAAGCAAAGGAAGCTCAAATCTACATGTAAAGAAGTAAAAAAAATGGATTTGGTTCTTCCACTGAGATACAGATGCAAACTGACACAATGGGGAGCATCACCAGGAAGGAACTTTGGATTGGATGGGCACCTCTCTCGCAAAAAAAAAAAAAAAAAAAAAACCATTTCAGGAACATCCTAAGAAAAAATATCACCTTTAGCTGGGCACTTACCTCTTAAGTTTTTCTCTGATCTCGGGATTCTTAATTTCATTTTTCAAATCTTCAAATGTGTGAGCTGAAGAAAGGTTGCAATACACTCTAAAATCGTGGTACGGTGGGATGCCGTGATCTCTGCCTCTTTGGATATTCATGGCAGCCAGATCTAAAGCTACTGCTCGCGCCATAGAGAAGAGTCTCTCAGTCAGCTCTGTATTGAGCAACTGTGATGTCACCCGCATCTTACCAGCAACACCAAACAACCCCCTTAGCAGTGGATCTATGCCTCCTTCATTTACAATCCGAAATGGAGAGAAGAACGCCTTATGAAGGGGGATATGTCCTTGTGGAATAGGTTCAAAGTTTTCATCCAGCCGATACAGTATGGGATTGATCAATGTGTGACCAAACCTGAAAGCGGCAGTTGCAAACTCATTAGTTATTCCAGAATTAACGTTGGGATCATAACCTTTATATTCACCAAGCATCTTCAAGCCTACCTCTCCCAAGATTTTGGGCAGCCAATGGCTGTAAGTTATGTGCTGCATTTCTGCACCAACAATTTTGCGCGTTTCATGATAGATGGTATCACCATCCCAGTGTGGGTTGAGTTTCAGTAATTCTGTGGCAATTCTATTGTGTTCTCTAAACCACAGTGTATGCATGCTGGTGAGTCCCAGCTGTTCGTTGGCACGATGATCCCCGGCAAAGAAGCAAGGAATCGGGCTCTCATTCTCATCTCTCATACATTCTGTTGGAGGGCCAGTAGCAAACGGAAGAAGGGGTTTTCCAGATCTCTGCACAATGCCTTGTCTCAGGAGGCCCCTGTGACTGGCCACGTCTCTGATTTCCTGCGCCTCGTGCTCAGAACTGCCGTATACGTTGGATGCATCGATATAGGATGTCAGCTGGTTGATCTGTTCTCGTGGGTAAACAGAGTTCATGAGCAAAGACGTCATGCCACTTCCACACACTGGACTTGAACGCACGAAAAACATGCAGCGTGCTCCGTTCCGGACCCGAGGATCATTGGGTGGGATCATGATAGAGTAACATGGCGGGTCATTTGTGCAAACTGAACTGCAATGCTGGCCATCAGAAAACCTGGCCTCACTGAGAGCAGCAACTGTGGAGTCCAGGTCATGATCCAGAAACTGCCCCCACTGCATTAGCATATGACTAAACTGGTCGTCGGGGGTTATCGTTTCAGTCCCTATCAGAGTGGTTGAAACCAAGCGCGGCATTGGGAGTGTGTATCCATTGTACCGCCGGTTTCCTCCAATGCCCCTTGGCAAATTAAATCCGTTTTCATAGACTGACTTCAACAGGCGTTCAAAAGCTGTCAAAGAAGCTCCCCACATTGGATGTTGTAGATTATTACAGGTTCCATCATGTGTTCTATATTTCTGGTGATAGCACATATCTGAACAGTTATTCACACGTCTGTGGGCAGTGCAGCCTGAGAGGTTAGCTATCAGGTTCAAGTACTGTGGAGATACAAGATCATTATAGTGATAGCCTGAAACAGATCAGAGAGAGAAAGAGAGAGAGAAATTAAACCCTTTTTAACTACTGGGAAAAAGTCTCACATGTGAAGAATAAATGACTGTGAGTAGATCTTCTTCCCACTGTGATATTGATTGCTAGAAGGGGTTTGGATGGTGCCTCTATAGCAGTATCTGCAGGTACCAAGCAGCACTGTAGAAGGAGGGGAGTTCCACCATGGTGGAGGCCTCCATGACACCCTGGTTGGCAGTAAAAAGAGGAACCCCCAAATCAGAGTGTCCTGTGGGTGAGGGCAGGGAAGAACTAGTTTTGGATCCACTGGACCTTTCTCTTCTTCCTAATAGGTCCAATCCAGCTTTGGAGTAGCCACTCCCCCTTACACACAGAAACACACGCCTCTCTCGCTACTGCTTTCAATAGAGGTTGGACTGGTTACTTCACAGACCCACCAGGCTAAAGAGCCTGGCAAAATGATCCCTCATTCTGCCCAGGTCAGGGTGAAGCAGTTGGGCTCAAAACTGATCGGCCCATCAGTTTAATCAGGTAAGTAAATAATCAACTCAGGGGCCCTTTTAAATAAATTACTCTGGCACACTTCTTTATCTTTTGAGTCTTTTTAAAATGGTTCTGATATGTCCCATACTTTTCTCACATTCTGCTCAGGCCTCAACTCTATTATTTATTCTTCTCTTTACTTTAGTATTTATTTTATCCACTACATCTATGCACAGGTGTTTCATTACTGTGTTTTTAGAAAGCAATCCTATGGCCTGCAAAGAGTATGAGCGCCCATGGGATACTGGGGATTTTCCTCTTTAAAGCCATGAGCAGAACTCTGCTGTGGTTGCTTTCCTGAACTTCAGTTTTGGGAGGAGGAGAGAGAAGGAGGAGGGTGCCAGAAGGGAGAACAAGTAGAAGAGAGGCTGGATTTAATGGTCTCCCCATCTCAGCCCAGCTAGTATGTGATTCAGCTAGATGAATTCCCAGGTCTTCCCAGCAGTAAACAAATGACTGGATAAAGCTGCCTCTCACCCTGTTGTCAGCAGGGTGCTAGATGCTTGGGTGCATCTGAGATTGGAAGTTCAATCCACAGGGAGGGCACCCTGAATGTGTTGTGTTAGCCATCATGGGTTGCATCAATTATGAATCAGAAAGATAGTTCTGAATAATACTAATACTAAACATATAGAGGGATAGATCTGGTATGTCTGGGACATAGAAAGCATGCTAAGAAGAGTTAGTTGGGCTAGCATGGCCCTGATTGCCTCTAACACACAACAACAGGATGTCTGTATGAAACTGTGAGTTCTGTTACAGTTTCATTCCCTACTAGGTGATAGATATGACAGTAGGACAGGAGAAGATGATAAAGAAGTGAAGCTGAAAATCTAGTTGTAATGAGACAATAAACAAACATTTTCAGGTGATTCCCAGGAACACTTGGCAATCCAGTCTCAAAAGTCTTACAAAAATAGTCCAATAACTCCTAACATGCCTCAATCAGCATGGATGGCTAAGGCATGCTGGGACTGCGATGATTATGATGAATTTATACCCTGCCATCTTCCTCTTGCAAGGTACCCAAAACAGTTTACAAGGTTATTTTGTTCTCCATTTTATCTTCACAACAAACAACCTTGTTAAGTAGGCCACAAGTCACAGAGTGAGCTTTCATGGTTGAGTGGGGATGGAAAAGTACCCAGATCTCCCAGGTCCCAGTCCAACCGTCTATCCTACACTGGCTCTCAATAAGACTTTTTTGGTGAAAACCTCAATAGATTGTGCCCTTAGTAATCAGGGTTAAACACAACCATTGAAGAACACTGTTTTGAAGTATCATAAATGAGTTAATTGTGCTTCCATAAAATTGTGATCAGCTAAAACAGCTTCTCTGTTGGGATCGAATTTATCACAACAGCCTCACACTAAGCGGCAAAACATACGTTATCTGCTCAAGCAGTATTCGTGGGGGGGGGGACTTGTGCAGCTAAGTAAATCTGGTAATGTTCCAAATCCACAAAGCAGAGACTCTCAGACTTGGTATATTTAGCACAGCTCAGAGTTGGAAGTTAAAGATTTTAGCATGCATTAATAAAATTAAGAATTACCCAAAACAAAGAACTGTCCTAGGCAAAAGTATTTCCTTTCACATGATCAACCTGGCTGTAGCATTTGGCTATCTGCCAAGCCCCAGCTGTTCTGCTTTCCTTAAACTATAGTATAACTTCCAAATTCTTTGCAGCATGTCTCAAGCACAGGCAATTGCCAAATACAAGACCTTGGAGGGATTACTAAATCATTGCTTTATAAATGCAATTTTAGTTTGTGTTGATATACCCAGACTGAGAATATAACTGTTCCACCAGGGCAATTACTAGGGGTTGTCAAAAACAATCGTGACAGAGTAGGTTTTAGTGGCAGGGAACATGTGGCCTTCCAATCAGCCCTGCCCAGGAGTTAATTGTGAAGAAAGATGGGAGCTGTAGTCCAGCAACACCTGGAAGTTCACATATTCCCCATCCCTGCATTAAGTTGTGTGAGAGAGAGTTGCTTAAGCACTAACTCAAACAGCATATGAGAGAGTCGTCCAACATTATTAAAAAAAGGCTTCAGCTGTGTGATTTTTAATCAAACTTCAAAGTATTAGAGTATCCAGATGACATAATACAGTTTAAGTCAGAATTAAACAGATAATTTGAGAGCAAGAGGGAGAGAGATGATAGATCAGAATGCATCTACAGTATATGCTATTTTTGAAAAACAGTTAATTGTGTGGACACTACCTGAGATATACACTTAATTTTGATGGATTTAGTTCTTGCAGCAGGAAATTTGAGTTCAGATATTACAGCAAGACAAAAATTAGTACAACATTTAATATGTAAATAGCGTCCCAAAAAATCGCCTTTTAGCTTTCAATGTCAGCAAGACTGACTGGTGCACATGAGAACAAAAAGTCTCTCTCAATTTGGGATTAATTTTGGATACAACAGGGGCAAGAACGGTTGTCTGTGGAAAATGATAGTGAACAATATCTAATGGGGACATTGCACAAGCTCATTCTGCGGCTCACTTTCTGTGCAAGTGGCTAACTATCGTGCAAATGACACCTACCATATGCACAATGAAGATTTAATGTGTCCCACAGGAAGCCCAGGAATGACCAGAAATGCTTGGTTCTGCACTGGGGCACATCAGAGGAACAATCTTATGAAAGCATTTCTGTTTGTTTCTTCAGAGGAAACTCTAAATCTCCAGTGTGTGAATGGTAGATCTCACCTGCGATAGATAATTTGCGGAGACACAACAGAACTGGCGGTTGGATATCGGACCTTCAAATTCCAAGCCAGCTGTTGCAAATCAGAAGACCATCCTCTCTCCTGTCATCTTCTTTTTTGGTATGTGTTGGTACATTTGAATATGGGGAACTTTTTTTAAGGAAAAAGGAAACTGGTTTACTTTCTTTTTCAATTTGCCAAAACCAGTTTACACAAGATACCTAGTCCAGTGGATTTTTTAAAAAAAATCGATCAGTGACATTAATTCATCTTAAAGAACAATGCTGTACAAAGATGCATGGGCTCCAGTGTTATGCAGCCACGTGAAAGTCCCGCTATGCTAGCAGAATGTGCGATATACCTATACCATGGGAAATACGCTTGGAAAAATGCTTGGAAAATTAACGACATACCACAACAGGGGATGAGCAGACTTATGCTAAATCCTATACCTTGTTTCAACCCCAGTCATGTTCCCAGTGGTGGACTTTTATGCCAACAACAGAGTTGGCAGAAAAGCAATTCCTCCTACTGAACTCACATGAAAGTAAAACACTAAAAATCACCATCCTCCACTGCTGATTCATGATGATTAAGAACACAATAAGGTGCCATTCTGCACCCAATCACAGTGTACCAGCATCTCTATCGCAACAGGGATGCCACCACTCAAATGACAAGATGTGCACTATCGTGTCTATGTTCCCTGGTCTCATGTCTATACACTTAAACACACAAGGAAAAAAACACTGACTTGTTCCATTTAGGTCAACCATTAAACCATCTTGCACATGTTCTTGAATTAGCTGTAATGTCCTTTCAAATATTTCTCCAGCTCTTGCTTGCTCAACAGTGTAAGGATCCCTTGGGTATCGAAATAAGGCTAGCAAATCATTAGGAGAACGCGGACGACTAACAGATAAAAAAGGGAAAAGACATAAAAATAAAGGTTAAACATACTACCCAGGAGTACATGCTGGTCTTAAACCTGAAACTATTGACTTATGGATTAGTAATATTAAGACTATAATCCACAAAAGCTCCAAATATTATACTATTACTATTCTATAACTATATATCTCAATCACTTATTCCAACCTGGAAGCAAAAATTATTATTTTTTAAATAGCCGCTGAAAACTGGTAAACAAAGCGAAAGTAACCACTTTCTTAAATGTCAGGGATAAAACTGTTTTAGCATGTTCAAATCCTCATAAATTCAGCATTCTTCAGTCTACAGAGTCACCCCTAAACTCCAGCCCATATAACCAATGAAATATCCGTAATGTATAGGCATGTCTTAAGGAAATGAATGCTGAATGACACCACCCACTGGGAATACAGGATATTGGCATCTGGGTGAGCAGATTTTGGATTAATTGTAAAGTGGGAGGAGATGTCTTGTCAATAAAAGAAGGACAGTATCCAGATCGGCAAGAAAACTTCCATATCTCCCCAAGCTATTGTTACAAACTGAACGAGTAATATGCCAATATGTTGTCAAGACGAAAACAAAGCTAACATGTGACACGATACCTGTCAAACAAATGTGTGCGCGTAGAGTTTATTGCTCTGTCAACAGTAGCTATTGCTTCCACAATCGAGCTTGCTACAAATGGATCTCCATTTCGACTGACATCAGGAACTACAGTGAAAAAGAAGGAAAAGCTGCAAGTATTTCCACACAGACATATTACTCTGCATAAGCAAAGTCTAGACACAATGTAATTTAAATGATGAAAAGTGTCTTTCCCTTCGAATATTTTATTTTTATTTTATTGAGAAAGAAAACTACTGATCTCCTGGGAATGATATAAAACATTTTGAAATTATTCTTTTGCAATTGCAATTAAACAATATATTCATAAATGTCGTAAGTATACTTTTAAATTGCAACAGTTTAAACAATGAAAAATTGTCAAAATGCAATACTAAAAGATAATTGAGTCCTCAATCAAAAGCAACATTTAGACAGATAGCCTAGACAGATGTTCAGCTAACAAACCACAATGGCTTGTTAATCATGTTGCACGAGCTGGTCTCATGCCAGAGAAGCCTGCATTATTGCCAGTGCAGCTTGTGTCATTCTAACCTGGTTGTTGTGGCTTGTTGCTATGGATACCAAGCCACCCAATACAATGTTCCAAGGTCCTGGATAGCTCGTTACTCACAGCAACAGTCCATCTTGGCCAGCTTCACAGGACACAGTAAGCCACGCTGCCAAGCATGTGGCCAAGAGGAACATGGTCTAGCTACCAAGCCACCATGGGAGCTCTGATCCATCATCTCCAGAAGGCTTCAGGCTACAGATTTCTGAACACCAGTCCCACTCCCCTGGTATAAAATATGACTAATTACTTTAAGAACTGACAGGATTTTCAAATGCAGTACATACAGAGTCTGCTGTACAAGTGGAAACAAAATACGCAAATCTCTCAAATCTTCCAATTCTTTAGGGACAACTAAGGCATATACTTAACTCCCACCTGCGGTGCTATTAAATAACCATCATCTCCCATACAAAGGGAGGAGAGTCATCCCTAGGAAGACTCCACTATGAATCTTTTTCATACTCTTAGATAAGCTTCTAGATGTCTTTCACATCTGCTCTACTACACTTTCCTTGCAACAGGTTGCATCCATTTGCGTCTCTCTGCTGGCAGAATGGCATCCATCAAGAAAGCTAAGCCACTACTCCCGACTACCCCTCCAAAGGATGACAGCGCCCCCGGTGAAGGTATGGGAGGGGGCTGCTGTATGGTCTACAGGTTGGAGGAGAGAATGTGGAAATTCTCATGCAATCTCTCCTACTAATGGCAATCTCACGTAGTACTGACAGACTAGTAGCCAAAACAAGAGAGGTATCTTTCCCAGTGCTGCTCCTCTGGATTCATTAAAGAGAGTAGAACCATTCAGGTGAAGTATCTTTTAGCTCCTGGAATATATAGGCTGCATATTGGAAGCATTTCATAAGTGTGGTGAATTTGTATACTAATTCACCCCTAGGTCTGCTGTAATTAATCTTACCATTCACACTTAGTACCATACTAACTGAAGAGTATCCAATAGTATTCCTTGCAACACATTCGTAACGGCCCTGATCTGCTGGTCCAACATCACGAATAGTAAGAAATCCTTCAAGGCTAACATGAAATTTCCCACTTTCTGTGACTTGAACTCCATCCTGCAGCAAATCAGAATGCCAGATTATATGATGATGATGTGATGCAGCAGATGATGTGAAATTCTTCAAGCTGTTCATTTTTAATTGGGGAGGGGGGCAAGTAGGACTTTGATTTTGCAACTTGAATACTTTATGCCCAAATCATATCCATTAGTTGTATCTGCAATGTAAGTATTAAATATTCATTACATTTTTTTTCAGGGTAGCGCATCGGGGCAGTACCCTAAAAGGTGACCACCCAGGATTGCCATCCCTGCCAATTCCCTTCTGCCAACGATGCCCACTGCTCATTAGTGGAGAAAAGTCTTCTTCCCAGAATCTTTCATTGACCTTAAGGAAGACTCATACAATTTTTATATTATTATTAATAGCATCATTTGCATTATTACCTTTGGGGTGATCTATGCATTTTTAACATTTTTCACCTCCAGGGAGATTCATGTAACTTTATCCATTTGTTTATTTAGAAACCAGAAGAATTCTCACTAAGTTGCTAAAGCACTGAATCTAAAAAGGAAAAATCTAGGGAAAAATAATGCTACATTTGTGTAAGTCCTTCCAAAGTTTTAAAAGAAGGGCTGCTGTCTAAGGAGCTGATGAAGTAGCTGGCTGATGAAATAGCTGCAAACTGACTGCAGTCATATCAAGATGTAATAGAGGGGATACTGGTAGTTAGAAAGTGATTGTTTTGCCTATTTTGCCAGGTGGCTCTCTCATGTTTTAAACAAACCATGATGAAACAACTCTGCTGAATCCACAACAAATAAGCCAAGCGTTCTCATTGGGGCTTGTTTGTGAAAACAACCCTTGACAGAAGAGCCATGTTGAGACAACATGCTAAGCCACACATGGGGAGAAGGAATCCACTGTGTCTTGGGTGAACCAGGTCAGTGACTGGCTGAAGATCACCAATGGCAGAGATGGGATCCAAAAACATTGTGCAGGTCCTACTGCACTGCTCTGACAACTACAGTCGAACCTCAACTTTCATGGGTTTGATTATTCGTGAGTTTGCCATCAATAATTAGGGTTGTTTTGCTTTGGAGTTTTGTGGCCTATTGTCTACCACTCTAAAGATAGCCACACAGGGAACGCTCCCCTTTCTGGCCACCGCCGTAGCCACCCTGGAATGGTGCACCAATGCCCAGCGAGGGTTGGTTGGGTGTTGGACTTGGGACCAGGTGTGCAGCTGCGTGCAAGGCTTGTAACGCAACACAGGACAAGCTCCCCTGGAGTAAGCTGTGCTCTGGTGTGTTGGGTCTTGCTTTAAGCTGAAGGTTATTCAAATTGTGAAAGCGGTAATTGTAATACAGCTCCCAGTACACATATGGTCAACAGTTTTAAGAGTTAAGGTTTGGGGGCGCCTCGAGATATTTGCAGTTTTTCCATTTTCATGGGAGTCCTGTACCCTTAACCCCTACAAATGTGGACGGCGACTGAACACCAATTTGCATTAAAGTACTGGCATTAAATGGGCATCAAGATAAGCTAAAACTTATCATATGCTTGGTTAAGGAAAAAATAGGTACTCTAAAATATACAAAATATTCTGCAAAATTGCTACACATGGTAGAACTACAGATTCCACCTCAATATCATGCCTTTAAACCTGGTTGTTGCTTCTCCTGGGCAAACCAGGCCTTGGATAAATGTTACTTGTAGCAGAGAAGCTTGGATAAGAAAATGATGCTTAACCCTTCGCTCATACATTGGTGATCCCCTGCGCTTGCCATTTGTTAGCTGCTTTTCCACCAGTCCAGGTTGAATCCCCATTATTTCTGTTGAAAAACAGAAACAGGTCCTGAACTTGGGCTAGAGAAACTTGGATTGCAGGCTGGAGCTGCAGGAGGGAAGCTCTCAGGCAAGCAGAAGTGTCAGGCACTCTGCTTTTTCACAAAGCTTCTCAGTTGTGACTCACAGCTTTCTGGAAGATCTTCAAAGTAACAAGATTAACTGCAACTACCAGTTAATAAAAAACCTGCTCACAGTTTTTAGACAGAAAAGAAACATTTGGGAACTGTTTGCTCTGTAATATTGCACAACACAGGAAGCTGGAAACACATGCTTATTGTAAGCCAATCAAGTATGTGCATTACCTTATTCCATGTTATCACTGGCTCAGGCTCTCCTTGAGAACTGCATGGAATCTGCACATTTGTGCCAACTTCTACTGTCATATCACTTGGAACGTTAGCAAACACAGGAGTTACTAAAATGAAGATAACAAAGAAGCAGTGGGAAGCGGTTAAGCTCTTGAAATAAAGAGCAGCATTCCAACTAATTGAAGTAACATGAGAGTGCGTTCCTTTGAACTCACTAGCCTGCACCTTAAGTAACGACTGTCAGTCTGACCACATTTCTTCACTTTCTTAATACTAATTTCCATTGGTAGAGGGTTACTTTAAATGCACACTTTACATATTGGGAGACACTTTTATGTACTTTATATAATAATAAAGCTTTTCATAGAAACACTTCCTAATCATTTTTTCCAGAGAATTCGGTTTATAAGTTATGGTTCTTTATGTAGTTTTAATTTCTTCCTCCTCAGAGGAAGGGATCAAGAGCATCTAACACCAGTCCAGGCTAGGGCTTCAAATATCAGGCCAAAATGTGGCTCTTTGGTACTCACCAGACTTCTTTCCCATGCTCAGCCCTGGCCAAAAAGCAAGCTAAGCTGAGATTAAGTCTGCAAACGTTCAGGAACGCTAGCAGCTTCTTTGTGCAAAGGATGTAATGCTTTGCACAAAATATGCAAAGCCCAAAACTCATACGTGCAGAAGCAGAACTCTGCTTGAACTTGCTTCCTGTGGAACAGCCATGTGAATGCTGCGTGCAGATTGGACTGAAGGCAGAGAGAAACCTGCCCTAGAATCCAGGGAGCCAAGCTGAGGAGATCTTACAGGTTCCCACCCCTAAACCAGATTCCTCACACATTCCTACTCCAGATTCTCTCAAGTGGGTCATAATACTGCTCCATAAGAAAAGTTTCTGATGGATGCTTGATACAATCAAATCCCCACATCATTAGTACAAGTATAACAAGCCATGCATAATCGTAAGTAACAAAGCGGCTAGTAATGTCAGCTTTAAATTGCTTTTGAAAATAAAATTACAGTTTTCCAAGCAACCAACCAACAATTAAAAGAGTTAATATACTGTTCTAACTTTCATATTAATACGGCAGAAAATCTCTCATTTCAGACTCTTTGCATATACCACTAATTCTATTCTTACAGTGCTTCTTTTCGCTCCACAGTGCCCTCCAATTATTTCCCTGACTGCACAACAGTTGGACCCATTCCAAGCTGGGTTTAATACAGCCCTTCATCCTTCTTTATACTTGGTTCACCATAAAGGCAGGTTAGAAAATAAGTCTGTCCTTCTTTCAGTAATTTAAATTGAAGATGTTTAAAAACAAAAAACAGCACAGCACAATACAACACAACACAACACAACACAACCAAACCAAACCTGGACCATACCTCTAGGCTGTACACTCAGATGGACAGCTACTCTTTGAGATCCTACAATATTGACAGCTTGACATTCGTACTGGCCTTGGTCATGTAAAGCCACTCTAGAAATCCTCAGGGTTCCAGATGACAATACCAAGTGCCTTCTATCAACAGAAAGCTGGCTTCCTGAAATGTAATAAACAAATTTGGGAAAAAGGAATTATTGCATCATTAATTAATCACAAGCCAAAAAAGCTTATCTTCAAGAGGTAGGAGCAGAAAAGTTGTGGTGAGATGCATGGGTGCCTCTGTATGTACAAGAAAAGCCTTGGTAACCTCCAATAATTGGAAATTAGATTTTAACATTATACTGAGAGGTGTAAGACATTATTAATTTCATGCACCTCATTGAGAAATGATGCTCCACAGAATCTTAAGTCCTCCGTGTGGTCAGTTACCTCTCCCCTTTGTCAAAGGTAAGTTTAACTCCTGAAGAAGGTAGGAAGCGAGTGAGGCAGGCACCGTTAGCAGAGGAACTAACTCCACTTTGATTGTGACTATTCAAAGGGTCTGGACCCAGCTTAAAATGAGATACGCTATTTAGGAATTAGGGAGAGTACATAATTCAAATTCTATATATTGTAAACACACCCACATAATTAAATTTTACCAAAGAGATGCAAAGCTTTAGACACAATCACATGGAAGGAATGTTGCCATGAAATAAGAAAAGAAAGCTGACCATCCTTTACAATTTTATTCCCATGTTTCTTATTCCTTTCTAGCATTCCATTCCATACTTGTAGAACATCTTTGAGATAACAGAAGTTAAAAGAAGCAGAATGAAATATCAAATATTATTTTTGCATATCCTTTCTGTTGTATACTCTTGCTTACTTTTCTATATGAACTGCGTAAAATAAAAGGTGACCTGATTTTGTTAAAGGAAAGGCTAAATCTTTCCAGTCTGATCATGAACACATTATCTAGAAACATATCCCAGTCCAATCAGCAGTACATATTTCAAAGTAATCAAGGTAATCTAGCAAGCACTTTAATGTGAGTATAAACAGCAACACATGTGCATCTAAGCTCTTTCACCTGTTACAAATGCAACTGTTCCAGATTAAAACTGGGATAAATCAGTAAATAAAACTGGTGCACCTGCAAATGTGCATAATGGATAATATGTTTATGCATGTTCAGATGTAAAAAAAGGCCTACAGCTCCCACAATACCGAGTCAGCTGACCCTTTTCTCTGTCTAATACATACAGGATTGCACTTTTAGAAGTGGAATAACTTCACGATACTACAAGCACATGTAGTGTGATGTCAGAATCACTAGTAACATCCTCCTGTGGTAAGGTTTTGCTTAAGTAGTCATATTTATGACAGTTTAAAAGCTCTGATAATTTTGTTCATCTCATCTTCATTTCTGTTATACAAATGCACTCAAAACACCCAAGTTAACTCAACAGCGGCAGAAAAATGTGGGGCAGAGAAATCAATGGAGCAATAATGGAAGGAGAACCCTGTGGAATTCCTAATAGGGATTTGCAGCTGTTTCCCAACTTCTCCCATATCAGCCTCAAAAGTAATTCAAAGGTTCCTCAAATGTTTACCTCAAGCAAGAAGTGAGTCTTCAAACCACCTCCCCGGCCCCATCCTTCTTGCCTGGCTCTATTATGGTCAGCAGTGCTGCTCCTTCGCAGCATAAGCACAGGATCAGTGGGATGTATGCGGTGCTGGCATGGTGCTAGCAAAAAATTTTGGCTGCAGGTCATTGCCCCGCTTTGCCCAGCAAGCACAGTTGACAATGCAACAGCCCCGGCGTACACGGCATGAGGTCAACAGTGCTAGCGCTAGATCATCGGCCCCAGCCCTGAGACAGCGCTGGCCATTGCCGTGAAAATAAACATGCACAATCCATGCTAGTTACACCAACTACTTCAACAGTATATGATTTTTCAAAGCTTACAGAATTATTAGTCAAAATAACTACCTCCTTTAGTCCAGGCAATGACTGGTTGTGGGTATCCCTGTGCCTCACAAGGAAACTCAACAGTTTGTCCTTCGATCACCGCTCTGTCTTGCGGAGTCACAGTAAACTGAGGTACAGCTGTGTACAAAAAGTAAAGTTACTTTAAATCAGTAAGAATATATACTTTGCCATTAAATGGGTTTCTTTTGTACTTCATTAAACCATGTAAGGTCAGCACTTTAGATCATAGTGTGAACTGATTAGCACAATGGTCAAGTCCTCTTGGTCCTACTAGACTTCAAGTCAGTAAAAACTAAAAACCGAAACAGGGTGCAATTTAGGAATGGTTTCATCAGGTTGAAAAGTTTTCTGGATTCAAGGTATCTTGTTTCCATTCCTTCCTTTAAAAATTCCTCAGTGCTTTCAAGTAGAAAACACAATGCAATTGTTACTGGAGAGCATACTGGTAACACATATGCATGTTTTATTGGTTATCGTTATTGGTTATATTTTGTTTTCTGCCTGTTTCCTATTTATATGGTTGTATTTCTATTGTATTTTAACTTTACTATGGTTTATGGGTTGCTTGATATTGTTATTTATCTTTATCTGTTATATATATCAGATAAAGATATATATATATTACTGTGAGTTGTTATTATATATTATATTATATTATATTATATTATATTATATTATATTATATTACTGTGAGCTGCCCAGAGAGCCTTCGGCTATGGGGTGACATACAAATTTGTTTGTTTGTTTAGATTTCTATCCTGCCTTTTTCCTACAAAGGGCTCGAGGCAGCTTACATCATTCTCCTCCTCCATCTTATCCCCACAACAACAACCCTGTGAGGTAGGTTGGGCTGAGAGTCTGTGATTAAATAAACACACAAACAAATAAAATACTGGTAACTCAGTGCCCAGAGGGTTTGTTTGGGAACACAGGTTGCAGTTTTATAAATCAAATAAATAAAATAGTGCTTTTGGAAAGAAGAAATGGCAGAAAGTGAAACATAGGTCAATCACTGAGGGTGCAATCTCACAGCCTCCCAAAATTATCTTGGTGGGGGGGGGGGGTTCATCCTATTATTCCAAAGCTGTTATTCCATCACAATATTCTGACTGCAAAGCTGAGTCTCCAAGCGTGGAAAGAAGCACATACGCTGCCTCCCTGGGAATCAGCCTCAGAGAAGGCTAAGAGGGCATGCTGGATGGAGGACGGGGAAAGGAGCAACGTGGGGCCAACCGCTCGCACCATATCCAGCTGATGCCCCAGGCGTGTTCCTTCCCCGTCCACAGCAGTTCATGTAGGTGACACAAACAGCTAACTGGAAGAAATGCCGGGTGTGAGGCACAGAGGCACCAGTGGCACCGCCCATCCTGCACCGGAGAAATGTAAGCCTCTGTTTTTGGAGGCTTACCTTCACTGAGCATACAGGATGCTGGGTCGTGCCCTAAGAGAGCAGAAGGACATTATCAATGCTTGCAAAAGTGATCTGACTTCCTCAGCATTAGGTGATTAACAGTGCAATCCTATGCAAGTTTGGACGAGAAAAGGCCTACAGTTCCCAGCATGCCACAGGCGCATTCTTTTTGGAAGGTTTTTTTTCCTGCCCAGACTTGCACAGGATTACACCATCTGTTGGCTGCTGTGGACTAGAAAGGTGGTGGCAATCAGCTGGTGATAAACCATGACTGCATGCTTTTATATAAAAATATGAACCATTAGAGAGTCCAGCCAACTCAATGCATTCAATTGAAAATAACCATTATATTTGTTTGCAGGATTTTGCCCATCCTATTCAAACATTTTCCCTAGCAACATTACATAAGCTACACCAGCAGTGCCATTATTAGAAATAAAACTTTACCCTTGTTTGGGGCTGGGACAAACCTTTCAGAATACACCCTCCTAGAATCCATGGACTGACTTCTGAGCTTGGCCCAGGCCTACCAAGCCAGCCAAGCCAAGAGGAAGTCTGTGAATGGTTCTGAAACCAGCAACCTTTCCTGAGAAGGGCAGCTGCAGGAAGTTAAGAGGAGCGCCGCAAGCAGGTGCACCAAGTGCCAATCTTTCTTCCTCACTCACTGCTGCTAGTGGTGGGTGCAGAAGAGCAGCATTGCTTGCACGGGACGTGGGGCTCAATTCCTGGCAAGCACCCCATGAATGCTGGCCATGCTCACCAGGAACTTGGAGTCAGGGCTGGAGCAAAGTGGACCAGAGTCCAGGGAGTCACGGTCAGGATTTGATGGATTCCCACTCCCAAACAGATTCCTCCGCCATCGCTACTTCTGTTGGGGCAGGATCCTATTGCATGGGTTTAAGTGTCATACAATTTTCAGCTTTTGAACCAATGCCCTACATTTAGATTTCCTTGTTAACTGCCATGTACCTTGCACAATGATGAACGCAGTTGCATGAATGTTGTCTATGCTGTTGGTTGCAAAACAGGTATACTCTCCACCGTCTTCCTGTTCCACATTTTGAATATAAAGCCCTCCTGATGGAGTTATGGTGATGCGGGGGTCATTTGGCAAGGGAGTCCTATCACCTTTGGTCCACGTGATGCGGGGTTGCGGATGGCCGGTTGCACTGCATTCCAAGGTGACACTTTCTCCTACCAGTACTTCTGTATTTTGTGGGTGAATCACAAAACTGGGCCTAGCTATTAAAAATGGAAGAATAACTGCTTCTACCTTTTGTTTACCATCTCAAAAATATGGAACAAAAAAGTCATGTACATCATTAACATTGTTATGCCAGCTTGTGTACAGTTCACAGTGCCAAATATGCAAGAAAATAAAAGCAGTAATTAAAGACACCCTTTTAAAAACCAAGTAGATGTGAAAACTGACTGACCTAATATAAAATGGAATAAGGAGACAAGGTAGGAAGGACAAGGTAGGAAGAACAAGCTGAACTCTCATTCAATTGCAATTTTCTCATAAAATTATTGCATTCAAACAGTTTTAATTTCTGCAGTAAATACTTCTGATCACTGAACTTCACCAAGAGAAAAACAGATTGAAAGAAAGCTGTGGACAGGAAGTTCCTCTCTGTAGCCACCACTAATGTGTTTAAGATCTCTCTTACCCCCATTATATAGGGAATCAGAGAAATCTAGTCACATCTAATTTGACCCCCAATGCTGCAGATTCACGTGATTTACAAGTACATTTACAATGAAGTTCTTCTGTCAGGATATTTTGAACAGTTTAACCATTTTCTGTGTTCCAGATTGGGACAGAATGCAAAAATAATGTGTATTAAACCAACCTCTTGGGTAAGAACTACGGATCCAACAGTTACACGTTACAACATACGTGGCATTCTAATAAATCTACTTACCTGGTGAACCAAAGTAGCGCAAAGTAACTTCTTGAGTTTTCACTTCTCCTGCCACGTTTTTTGCCATGCACTGGTAAATGCCTTGGTCTGTCTCTTGAGTATTCTGAATCATTAGGGTGCCATCATCAAGCAAATTCAAACGAGAATCTGCTTTCATGCTGAGCTCATTACTATGAAGAAAAAAATCTGTAGCTCTAAAACATTTAACTCACAAATAAGACCTTTTTTCAAGATGCAATGAATTTTCACAGGCAATGAGATGCTAGTCGGAAAAGCGTTTCTTAAAACTAACTCTTCTTTTAGCATGTACCTCTACAGAGAAAACACCTGATGAGGCAACACCCCATGTATGTTTAGAGAGGGAGAAGTCCTAACCTCCAGTATATAGCAGCCAATATTGCAGTCTAGGAAATGCTGGGAGTTGTACAGCATTCTTCTGTTAATATATGTACAGGAATTGCACCTCCCCCCAAATTAACTTACTTGTTTCGAAGCCAAATGATTTCTGGTTTGGGGTTTCCTTCAGCTCTGCAAGTAAAGTAAACGGTATTCCCTGAGGTAACATCCACATCTTGAGGTTCTGATGTAATTCTTGGCCTCTCTGTATCAACAGAATGTAGTAAAAGAAAACTTTCTTCAGAGAATTGTGATCTAGAAATTGTAGATAGGTTAGTGCTTTATTTTAATGTAAGATGTAAATTATGTTTCCCATTGTTTGAATTAAAAATTACAGAAATTAAGCTATAGAAACATATATGGCCAGTGATATCTGGATGCTGAAACAGAATACAAAGTGACCATTAAACCAACCAGTTTACATTACAAATTGTTATATATTTTGCATTACAAAATTTCCGTAACGTCTCTTTTCAGAAACAATTCAAATTCAGGATTTCTGATATGGCACAATTCTTTCAAACAATTAACCGAACTCAGAATGTATGTAGAGTTGCTTGTTTGAAAGTGTCCCTTGTCACGAGGTGGGAAACATCCCCCCCACCACCTTTTCTGCATTCTCCACTGTCCTCAAAGCACCATTGACACACCACTAATCGTTGGTGATACTGGCAAGAAAGAAGCTACTTTTTTGTTTAAAACACGGCAGGCATGTATATGCATCTTGTTGGAATTCAAAATCATGCTACCCCATGGCTTTGAGGAACACAAGCTGGCACTGGAACAAGGCGTGCAAAATGTTGCTTTTTCCTCATTGCTCAACTGCCACCAAAATCTGACAGCAGCAAGTCCTGTGTTTGGCCCCAGCAAGCTGCCATTTAGCTCAATCGCTCCAAACTTGCTCATCCACGGTCTGCACCTCCTATTGAGGCTGCCACTACAAATAATAGCAGATGTAAACAATTTTTAAAAATAGGTTAGGAGGCATAACTTAAGACACCATAAAGCTGAGTTCCACCACTTGTGATCTATCAAGTTGAACACAGTCTATCAGCTAAGTCCGCACTCAGCCAAAAGCTTTCGTTTGTCTTTTGTTTTTGTTTTTCTAGTCCCAACAAGCAACCTAAGCAGGGAGTTTACCAGGCCCCTGGTGAGATACCCGGCATGACTGTTTTGACTTACTGCATCACAGCCAGTGCGAGCCGGGCATATGTAAGTTGTGATCCATCTGTTTTATTCGAACTAGTGTTGACTACATTGTTTTATATTTGCACATTACATCAACAGCAGACCATTTCCCCCCGCCCCCAGTTACTCAGCTGCCACATGGTGCATGCACATTTCTAACACAACATCTGTATTATCTTCAGAAGAACTAAGTATTCTTCTGATGTAGAAAGAAGAAGTATACTTAAACCCTTGCACCTTTAAAAGAATTTTGGAATTTTAAGAAATTTTTCATAATTATATGGTTCTATTGTTTACTACTAAAAATACAAATAAAAATGTTTTATAATACAGAGGAATAATAAAAGAAAGAAATGAAGTTGCTCTTGTATTAAGGACAAAAGGGCAGGATATTTCCCAATAAAACATTTCAGCATAAAATCCTGAATTACAAGGTGGAGGGAAGTGGATTTACATCTTTAAAAGCGTCTCACCACAGTTAAGTTCTTCTGGTGTTATGGTGGCCACTGATCTGCCCTGGATCCTTCTTGGATATTCACATGTAGCTGCAGCTTGTGCATTACCAGACTCCGCGTACGTCTTCAGCAGGTCTGCCAGCCACAGTATTTCACAGTCACAGTGAAGTGCGTTTGAATCCAGACGCCTGGCCAAAACAAGAAGCTATGGCTATATATATTAATGACACCAAGAAACTTAACACACTGTTATGAGGAAAAGAATTTCTGGTCTCTCATTTAAATGGAACATACAATATTACAATGAGATATTGTAATGTTAGGCAGTATGTAAATATGGAAAGTTAAAAGTGAAGCACTACTCACTTTATAAATGCTGGTTAGAACTGAATGGACACCTTTCAGTTATAACCTTTGCACTGAGTCTTTACTCAAAGAATATTTCTGATACAACAAATGAATTCAGTGTGATGTTACAAAATGGATGTAGGTTGTGAGAATAAATACTCTGCATCAAGCTCCAGTCACTTGCAACCGCTAAAGTGCAATTAACAAAAGGATCCATTTACTGTAAGGATGGGACCTGCTTGCTTCCAAACCTGGCATTCCCAGCTAGAAAGTGCCAGTTTGGAATGTCAACGAGATGGGAGGAGAGGAGTTGGAATGTGACACAGAAATGGCAGGACTAATGAGCAAGATTTGCCACGTGGCTGTTGAGAACCAAGCCACCACCGTAAAACAAGGAGGATGTGATGCAGATGGCTGAGAATTCATTGATCCACTTGAACCAACCGAGTGGCCCAAGTAACACCTGGCACTGGCCCACAAGGAATGCAAGCCTTCCTGGGGGTGGCACCTACTCCTCCAGGAAAGAAAGAGAGGGGGGTCTTCAGTTTGGAATGAGCTCTTCACATGGGCAAGAGTTACCCCCAAACTGGAGGGAATGTTACTAGAGAACAATCTTCTTATGAAGCACCCTGCAGTACCAAAAGCCAATCCAACTCAGATAAAGGGCTGTATTTCAAAAGTTTTCTGTGTGGATGGCTGGAAAGAAAAAGCAGAAGAGAAGGACTCATGACCACTGCAAAGGCTATCTGGGAAGCTAGACTGTTTGGTTCTGGTCAGGGCAACTGCTGGGAAACTAACTTGTTGGCTTTGGGTCAGTCATGGACTGAGTCTAACCTACCTCACAGCTACTGTGAGAATTAAATGGGACTGGAGAGGGAGAATTATACAGGCTGCCTTGGGTTTCTTGCAGGGAAAACAGTGGATATAAATGTAACAAACAAACAAAATGTAGTTTACAGTATTACAACTGAGTGGTGACCATGAATCTAACTGTAAGTCAGCCTTAAATCCTTGCATGTCAGCCATGAAGGAGATGCTGCCTATATTAGTTTGTAAACACAAGAGATGTAATGAATTATAAAATAAGTTGACAAAAGATTCAGTGCAATTTTAAAGAGAAAAAACATATCTTTACTTACAGTCGTTTCATTGATTCCAAATGACTAAATGTTCCAGGAATTAAATGAGATATTCTGTTGTTATGTAAAAACCTGTTGAAATATTACATTTATTAATAAGGAGTTCAATCCCTTTCACCAGTCTTTGCCCAGTATGCCTCCTAGTTATTTGTCTGAAAATACTACTCTTCCTATATATTCCTGTAGGGACCCACCTTCCTGCTAATAAGTACAAAATACATAGAAACCTGGGAGCAACTAGTTAAATATAAGTGCTATCACTCAACCTTATACATCTTTGCAAGGACAATAAGTCCCAATAAGTTCAGTGGAGTTTACTCCCAGTGGTTATACACAGGATTTTAGTCTTTGCCAATAGTTTCCATGAACTATCACATCTTACTTGCAGCCTTTGCATGAAAAAAACCCAGAATTCTCTGCAAGCCTCTTTTGGTGACTAAGTATGCTGGTTGGTGCACCTGAATAGCTTTCAATGGGATTCTCCCATAAGCAAAAGCTCTTAAACCAACCAGAAACTGAAAGCAGCCCATTATGACCAAACATACGATTATGACCAAACATACCAGGATTGCTAAACCAAGAACCAGTTGGAATTTTAACTTGGACTTTTTACTAGCAGCCAGGAATTCTAGCCCAGATGCAAAACTAAGCTTTAAACCCACCAGTGGTGAGAAGAACCAAGTGAGAGCAATTAGGCTACAAGCGAGCGCACAGCTCCTGAACAGCAAGTCAGAATTCTCTGCAATTTGGGTTTATCATTATTTGTGAATATGGTCTCCACTTATGCAGATGGAAGCTTCCTCATGGTTTAATTCAGTATGAGGCAAGAAAAAAAGTATCAAACTGCATGCTGGCTTCATGCCCAGAGGCTCTGCCATTTACACTGATGTTTCTAGTCCCAGGCCAGAAGGATTCACAATACGGATTAGCATTTTGGCACATTGTCAATGTGGCACATGGAATTCAGTTTTCCTAATAGACAATCCCCTCCCCATCTGGAAGAGTGAATAGTGAAAGAGAAAAGAAAAACTTACAATCTTTCAAGCTTGGGAAGATGGGTAAATGATTCTGGTTCCAATGTTTCAATCTGATTAAAGTGCAGATACCTGTTCAAATGTTGGGAAAGAGAGAAGATAAAAAGAATACGGGAAAAAGTGTATTTAATAAAGTGGATCTAAAGATTCATTAAAAAAACCTGCAAAAATAACGTAGATCCTACAATCTTCGTGCATTAAACAGAAAGCCCCAGCTTTTAGCTAACAGTGGCTATGATATAAAAATATTTTATTTATTTTATTTAAGAGATATCCTCATAGGCTTGTTGTGAGGATAAAATGGAGCTATGTAAGCCATCTTTGGTTCCTCATAGGAAGAAAAGGGTGGAATAGGGGTGCAATGTAATGATAATAATTTAAAGCACATATCCTAGGGCGTAAACCTCAATAAACGCAATAGTATATACTTCTGAGAAAACATGGTTAACCTCATTCTGTGCAAACTTAATAGCAACAAGATTTTTAATCATAGATATTTGCTCTATGTAAACAAATGACAAAACTGAGGCATTCATACTTTCGGCACATCAAGAGAAGGCAAAACTCCCTGGAGAAGACAATCATGCTAGACAAAGCCAAAGGCAGAAGAAGAAAAGGAAGACCAAATATGAGATGCAATGACTCTGTTAGGGAAGGCACAGGCCTTGCATTTGGAAGAGCAGAGCAGGGCTATCATGGATAAGGCATTCTGGAGGGCTTTCATTCATAGGCTAGCCATGAACTGGAGCTGACTTTTTGGCACATGACAACAAAAACACTATGTTGTAAGGAAAATACCACAGCTCTGCTAAATTAAGAGCTAATATATATTTCCTGGAAAACATAAAGGTCCCTAAATCTTGCTCACACAGATTCACAACCTTCAAGAGTTCTAGATTGGTTTGCTCAAAATTGGATGACCACATGCTGTAGACACCATTTTTTGCTTTCTCTTTGTTAGGATACTCTAGCCTCTGATGAAGGTTCTCTGTATTATAATTGTCATGCAACAGCACTGCCACTTGAAGTTTTCTTACTTTGGTAGCTGTGAATTCCTATGTAATCACATTGGTGCAGGCAGTGCATGCCAGAAACAGAAGAAACTTCTTGTATCAACTTTTTCATGTAACATATTTTTGAACTAAATGGCCCTCAAATCAGAGAAAGAACAGAATAAAAAGGAATTTTACTTTGTAATTAATATCGTAATTCAATATAACATGCCTTATCCAAAGCAGACATCCCATAGCGATACTTACCCAAGCGTGTCTCGCTTACATAAATTAGTATAAATTCTACATTTATCCTCTAATCAGAAAAAAAAGTTTACATTAAAAATAGAAAATATACAATTTAAACAAATATATGTAATGCTTGGGTACTTGACCATTTAGTATATTAATGCTTGTTAAGCTTGAGTAAAACCACTTAAACTTATTTTATTCTTGATGAACTATGAAATGCTGTTCTGTTTAACATACTGGTTTGCTCTCATTTCAGTGAATATTAGAACAGGGAAGGCTAATGTGTCATGTTTAAAAAGTCTACTTTATACTAACTGGGTAGAAATGTTTTTCTCATAAGTGTGGAGAAGGCTGGACACAATCCAATTTGTAACCTTATGCATAATAAATGCCTTCTAGAAGCTATGATTGCTGTTTGAAAATAGTCATGCGCTTGGTAAAGATCCAAAATGCATGTCCACCTGAGCTAAACATCACCTCAGCAAATCTGTGTTTTCTGAGATAAGCAGAGTGAAGGAGTAATGGATAGTCAAACTGGAAACAGGAAAAAGATTTGCCTAATCACTCCCAAGGTTCTCCCCTGCAACTGTTCCACTGGTTCCATATCTACAGTGGAGTTTCTGCAACTTTCAAGGATCTTCAGGACATTGTCAACAGGTAGAGAAAGTCCACAGTACCCCCCCACCTGGTCTACCAGTTGTTGCCTCCAAGTGGGCTGCTGCCTCCACTTTTTAATCACAAGGGATACGAGAACAGGTAATGTATTGCAACATCTATGTTTACTTTTCACTGACAGATAAGATGGTAGAATGTCATTTTGTTAGCAGGAACTCAAATTAAAGAATACTCCTTCATCAAAGCAACAGTAACAACAACACATTTTAGTTCATAGGTAAAAATATTCTGGAGAAAAGAGTCAGGCCTAGCTTTCTATGTGATGTACTATGTATGTGTAGGCATACTTTTTTCCACCGACAAGCTGAGCATTCCATTCTCTTAACCAGCACTATAAAAGATTCATCAAGACGTAAGTGTATCTCCTCCTGCACTAAGTTTTTACAAGTGGTCTTCTTACAGCTGCACACTATTTCCACCCCAAGAATAAAAATATAATGGCAAATTGATTATTTACATACAAATAGGGCCAAAAGTCAGAAAGTGTAACTTGTGATATACAATAAACAATCAAGCATGCCATAATCTGGAGATATCTTGTTTTGCTTTGCCTCATAAATCCATATCGTGGTATGCTAGGAAGAGGCAGCAGCTAAATGTGTGGGTGGTATAACAAGTTACTTTCAGGTGAATAGAAATTTGTTTCTTCCTCCTTTCTTAACTTTCAGAAAACATTAATAGAAAAGAAGAAAGTGGGGTCAAAATATGCAGCAAATCAGTATGAAAGAGTCATTTCACTGTGACAGAATGTTGGTAAGAAATTCTATGAACAATTTTCTCCCTTTACTTTTCCCACAACTATCGCAACTTAAGCTCAGTTATTCCATGATTAATATGCTGCAGTGAATGAAGTGAGGAAGTACATTTTGTAATAACTAAGAACCATGTGAATTACATGACTCTTTGTACAGCGAAGAAGCATTATGTGGAACTAACTATCAAAAACCGTATCTAAAAAGCACTGTTCTGCTACTTCTCATTAAAATTTATCTCCACATCACCTGAAAGATGCAATCAAATGTGACTTTGGTGTTACTGTTGCCATGTGCATTTTTAAAGAAGTACCACCATACATAACTTTAGAAATATCATACTTTTTCTGCAAACTAGAAAAAGTTTTTCAAAAGTGGGTGGTTCTGTGTGGATTAACAAAAATATTTATCCAAGTGCAGAAGAATGTCATGCATACTGCATTTAATACTCAGACATAAAACTGCCTATGAAGTTATAAAGTGTCTGGGATTCCATTCAAGTCAAGTCAGAATGGAAGGACCAAAGAAATGTTGCTGACGGTCTCCAGTCGCTTCCTAACTGAAGGTAACCTGGCATAACATTAATCATGTTTCTAAGTATATATGACAGACTTATGGACAAATTCACATCTATACAGAATTTCATCACCAACTTAGAGCAAATGTTCTTTTAAGAAGCTCAGAACAAAGCACAACATGGAATACTGCAGAACTGATGCAGCAGGATTGATACAAAACTTGGGGAGCATGCTTTGTGAGTGTGCGTTCATTTCCATGAAGCAGCGAGGCAGGCAGATCCTGGCTAACTAGGAACACATGTGAGCTGATTCATTCAGCCCATCTGCCACTACTTGAATCCTGCTGCTGGGACAGGGATGGGGAACTGAAGGCCTAGGGGCGAATTCTAATTCTCCGAGGAGCTGAGGATTCCTATACAGCCCTTGGAGATCTCCAGACCCTATTCACCTGGCCGCAAACTCTTTTTCTGATCTGATTTCGGGTGGCTTCCTACTTCTGTACAGTTTCCCCCCATTCTAAAAGGCTGAAGTGTCTCTCTTAAGGTGCACTTGCAGGAGGGAGGAGCTTTAGGTTACAATCTGATGCTACCTTTTGTATTTTTGCCCCATCTCCTTTTGTGACACCCTTTTTTCTTCAGCCTGGCTCACCACCAGAATGCGACCCATGAGGGTGCCTCAGAAACCTTCAATTTCAGTTGAAGGAAGCTCCCCACCCCTGTGCTAGCACCAATGACTTAATAAAGCAAACATAGTTTGTTTAGCATATCATCAAAATGCAGGATCTTTGTTGTTTCTAAAGAAATCAGGATTAGTGAGCAAAGAACAAACCCTGATATATGATCCTGGCTTGCAAAGGGGATAGCAAAGCAGACAGAGCGTTTGGATGACATATCTAGTTTATCTAGTAGATCACAGTGTACAAAGGGAAGAACCTAGCTCATTTTGCATGCAGCAGTCTACCCATATTTTTGGAAAAATTATTAATGCAGCAATATTTACTTTGTGGAAGAGACAAAATCAAATTAGCTTTAGGTGAAATGTATATGACTACAGTGGTGATAGGTAACAGTAGCTAGATTCTTCACACTCAGAAGCAATGAACCTCTGGTAATCAAATGACTTGGTAAATGGGAACAGGGAGTGACTCTCCATTATGCATTACTTTTAGAACTACTCAGGTTCTAAGAGATCTTTGATCTGATCCAACAAGGTTCTTTTTATGGTCTACAAATGTATATAGGTTTTGTCAAAAGTGATCAGAGTCTGAAGATCCAATCCATATAAGATGATCAGTGAACATATTTTCCTTCAACCTACCCAATATCCTCTAAAATGAGTTTATATTTAACTCCGTTCTAATGTTTCTTAACAACACATTTTTCATTTTAACCACCCTCCAAACATAACAGTAGACATGAATACCTATAAAGAAAATGTTTAACTATAATGTCTCAAAATTCCTCATGAGCCCTTCTTAACAAACTCAGTAGCATTTCACAGGATATTGCCAACATAATAGAAGACTTTACCCTATAGCACAACTGAAAGGTAAATGACAAAGGAGTTATTTTTCATTAAGAAAATGAGGTGTTGCTTATTGAAGCTGTTGCTGCAGCCAAGTATCAGTGGACGTGGCCATTTCAGAGGCATTTTGGTCTTGATAATTAAAACAAGCAATATAATTTACACATTATGACATAGCATACATCCATGAGAAGACCATACTAAATTTAAAAACAGCACATTTCAGACAGTTCCTTTTCTTACATTGAGCACAAATTGTACATGCTGCTATGACTGTCTTGGGAAGTGATTAAAAGAATTGTACTGGTGAACCGATGCTTTTTTCTTCATCAACCAATACACAGTTAACTCTATTTCCATTTCTTTTCAGTATGAATTCTTGTAGACTTGTAATCAACTAGCTGAACTCCTTCTGGATTTCAAGTCTTCTTTCTACCATTTATGGAAAACAAAGCCATATTCTTCTCCAATGGAATGAGCCATATGCATAATATAAACATTTTAATGATAAAGGTATCAAAATCAAAGCCTGCTTAAATTTGGTTACACTGCGGAAGTCAAAAGTTAATTCCCTGATGTTGAAACTATAAAACCTCTGGAAGGCACAACAGTCTTGGCTTCTGATACACATTATGCTTAATGATAATTGAAAATTGAGTTTGTCCTTTAACGTCAATCTACAATGAAGGGATTTCCGTAAAATGTAAACCACAAATACAATGTGAACACAGAAAGAATTTGACAGACATGTTCTCTGTGTGCCAGTGACTGCAACCATATTAGACTAAACCTCTTTCCGTGCAGACATGCAAGGCATGCAGGCAAGAAATCTTGACCAAAACGTGCACTTTTTCTCTGAGGCAACCAAGCAGATGACAGCACAGAAGAGAAAAGGCACTTACAGTTGTTCTAGAGAGGCAAGTCCCTTAAATGCTTGCCTGTCAATTGACTGGATTTCATTCTTGTACAAATAGCTGAAACAAGAAACAATCAGTAATATTAGTATACACAAACAAGAGCTACATTAATGTGGGAAGGAATTATGGTGAAACATGAGGACAGTCTTTAAAATGCACATTAGAAAGCAACAAAACAAGACATGTATATACACCAAAAACATCTTGTACTTGAGAATCTGTCTTCCATAGACTTTAGTATCCAAAAGGAAATAGTGAAGGACTTACTATATTTATCTTCATGGGCCAGAAATAAACCCAAAAAAGAATTCTGTCTCTAGGGTACTACTGTAACCATGATGAAAGTTAGCACATATGTATGATTTGATCATTACTTGGAAATTTTTACAGGACTGGAATAATTATGGCAAGCCATTTTTAAAATGTTTCAATTACTATTCAACTGCAGAACATGTTTTATTTCAACCAGTGGATCTTCCCAAAACATTCACAGATCAAAAGCTATCCAAAAGAATGCAGAAGCTCAATGTATCAAATATAACTCCATCAAATTCCTCGTATTTAGTCACTGTAGCCCTTAAAAGTTAAAGAAACTGGAAAACAATGCAAGTGTTGCTGGGGAAAAGTTTAGCAATTTTATTAACAAACTTTGTGGGAGGAAGACATAAGGAGACTTGATGCTTCAACAGGCTACATCTTCATTCAATGAACATATTCAGAGCTCTTGCTAATATGAAGCACACGGTGACAAACATGAGAGAGAAACCGAGAGACATAAACATCTCACTCCAAACACGGAAGAGGGCAGTATGACAGGGATATTTCCTTTATTTGATTACTTGGTGTACTGATTAATACAATACACAAAATGGAATGCACAAAGATAAGTTGCATAAAACAGATATATCAGCCCATTACACAGTGGTTGCCAGGAATGGAGATTACTCTTTATTTCTGTTACTCCTGTCTTCTTGACTCGAGCAACAATTCCTTTTTAAGGAATTCACAGCTTTGTTAATTGCACAGAGCTATCACTCTTTCTTTGTTATGTTGGCAATATATAAAAAATATTTCTCTTTCTGCCTTAAAACATTCAAGCATTGAAGTTGTGTTGCTGTTATGCCTGTAAAGTTGAATTATTAAGTTCTGAATATACATGTTTGTCTTAATAATTCATTGAAGCCTTTTTAAAAACCTATTAATATTGTAGGGTTTTCCCGTAAACATTAATCATCTAATACTTAAAATAGTAGGCCTGTTAACTCTTTGGGAGCCATTACTAAGTAAAGGAGGGAAGGAATAGAATACATTTAACAGTCTAATCCTATGTTTATAGGGAAGAATAAGCCAGGTAGCTGCTATATTTGGATTTTCAGTCAAGGTTTGTAAGAAAGGGTACCTTGGCAAACCAATTGCCCCATACTTGGACACTTACTTGAATTCAGAGATCATACCAAAGAAGAAAAAAAGCCATTTTCCTTGTTTTGGTGAGGAGAAGGAAAGAGAAGCAAAATACATCTGGGATGCTGGCAAACAATTTTAAAGTTCAGTTTTAAACGTTCTCACCAAAGAGAGGTTGTTGCACTGCATTTTTTTAAGGCAGGTCAGGGTGAGTAAATGCTTTTTTGGGGATGGGAGGTTGATCTCTCAAATACGTAAACCTAAGAACAAACATTTGGACATATCCAGTGGAATCATTGGTAAATCCTACTTATACAGGTTACCAGTAATAGAACAGTCTCAGATGGGAAACACTTCATCTTATTTATAATCTATTGACCCTATGTGGCTGGTCACAATCATAGAACCATAGAATAGTAGAACTGGAAGGGGCCATGAAAGCCTTTGGGTCCAACCTCTGCTGCTGCGGGACACCAGTTTACACCATCTCACTCAGATGGCTATCCAGTTTCTTTTTGAATGCCTCTACTATGAGAGAGCCCACCATCTCTCTAGGTAGCTGGTTCCACTGTCATATTGCTCTGACAGTGAGGAAGCTTTTCCTGATGTCCAGCCTGAATCTGGGTTGTCCCAACTTGAGGTGATTATTTCGTGTCCTGCACTTTGGTATCAGTGAGTTCTTGACCTTCCTCTTTGTGACAGCCTTCGAGGTACTTATAGAGAGATATCATGTCCCTCCTAGTCTTCTCTTCTCAAGGCTGAACATGCCCAGTTTGCTCAGTCTCTCCTCACAGGGCAGCGTTTCCAAACCCTGGATCATTTTTGTTGCCCTCAACTGGACCCTTTCTAAGTTTTCTGCCTAGAAATGGACACAGTATTCCAGGTGAAGTCTAACTAGTGAGGAATATAGAGGAACTACTACTTCTTGTAATTTGGAAGAAGCATCTATCAATACATCCCAAAATAGCATCGCATTGGTGGCTTATGTTTTGCCTGTTGTCCACAATTACTCGGAGGTCTTTTTCTTTTTCAGTTCTGTTCAACCACATATTCCCCATCTTGTCCTGATACATTTGGTTTCTTTTTCCTAGGTGGAGAACTTGGCATTTGCTCTTATTGAATCTCATTCTGTTGCATTCAAATTTATCAAGATCACCCTAGATCTTCATTCTGTCTTCTAGGGTGTTTGCTATTCTACCCAGTGTTGCATCATCTGGAAATCTGATAATCTTTCCCTGTACATCTGCATCTAAATCATTAATAAAGATGTTGAAGAGCACTGAGCCCAGAACTGAACCCTGAGGCATCCCACTAGTTATCTCCTTCTAGTTTGAGAAGGTCCCATTGATGAGCACTCTTTGTCCTCGAATTAGCAGCACACATCAGTTCAAGTTGAAAGAAGGACTAAGTGACCATATCCACTGCCCAAGCCCACTGAACATTCTTAAGTAGCAGTTCCAAATGAATCTTCCAAGACCAACTTTCTCTCTTCTGGACTAAACTTCAGACTGGGTTTAGGACTAGAATGCTTGGTTCTTTTGCTTAAATCCCTACCACTAGGCTGTATCCCATTCACTCCTATATTCATTTCCATTCTTCCTCTCCAATGTTTACCATCATTTTACTTCCTTTTCTATAAAAAATGACTTTTTAAAACATTTGGCATCTCTGTGATCCACAGTCCCATAAACTCAACAGGAGTGTGAGGCCCTGTACAACATACACTGAGGACCAAACAGAGTTGTCAGAAGGATGGAGGCAGAACTTTTCATTCCACAGGCACTGGTCACCTTCAGACCTTCAGACCACAACCTATGATTGTTCCCACACGACCACATCAACAAATGTTGCCGGAAGGAGCTCACACAAGCTTTACAATGAAAGCTTAGCTGAAAACCTGAACTTGGATGGACTTTCCTGTTCCATAGACAGAAAATAAAGTCTTTGTAAGTTGGGATTTTGTCATCTTGTTCACAAATATTTACTCAAATGTTCTCAACACCTCTCTTCCTAGTGTAATGACATTCTTGAATGTGCCTTCCTGACTCCATGATGGAACCCACTTCTACACATGGGCACTTGTTCATTAGAATAAAAAGTAGCCAGCTGACCACTTAATTGTGTAAATATTATAACGGTAAAATACTATTAAAATACTTTATTAAAACTACAAAAGTGGGGGGGGGGCTTTTTCCAGCTCACCATAATTTAGTATCTCACTTGAACCAACATTTTGTTTGCCCTTCTTCTAACTGGTACCACCAGGGTTTGCGTTTTGTAACAGCTACTGTTTTCATGTGTTTTTAAGTGCAAGTCTCTTGAACTAAACATGGTTCCATAGAGGGTGGTCTATGTATTGACAGCACCATTCTTAGACTGGGGTGTTTCAACATGTGGCCTGTGAGCCACATGCTGCCCTGAGCCCTTGTTCTGCAGCCCTCTTACCACTCTGAACCCCCCCATTTCATTACGAACCCCCCAGCAATGGCAGCTCAGGAAGGGTCAGGCTGGTGGCCTTGTGAAAGCTGGAGAGCAGGGCGTACTGGGGAGAGTTCGTTGGCTCAAGTATGTGTGCCAATTCCAAAAAGGACAGAAGGGCGGGGGGGTCACACGGGAGGGTTTCTGGGCAAGGGAAACAGGGACGAAAGGGATGGGCCACCCCAGAGCAGCAGTATCGTGCTTGGGCTGTGGTTGCAGAAGGAGCTGCCTGTGATCTCTGCATTCTCTTTCATTTAATGGTTAATTAAATATATTAATTGTGTATATTCAATTGTGTTTATTAAATACATTGCAGACACTTTATCATATGGAGCTGTAATTCATTGTGTGGTCCTGAGTTCCATGTCAAAGGCCTCAGGCTGCCCTAGAGGTACAAGAAGTTGGACTGTCCCTGTCTTAGACAATGACCTTTCCTACTAACACACCCCTTGAGTTTCTGCCACTCTTCCACAGTTATAGAAGATACCTGGTAAGAAGTGCCATGTCATGCTATTGGGTCTGCCACCAACTGCTATGATATTAAGGGACAAGAAATCATCAGTTAGGTTTGCTAATAAATCCATAATGAATCATAAAAAATAAGCTGCCACCTACACCATAGTATTCTGGGTTTCCTAGAATAATTGCCCACAGTCAAATAATACGGTAGTCATTATTGTTGTCAGATGACAACTCCTTCCAATGAGCATGGAATCTTCCCAAGCATAATTTCTTATCTGAAAGTTAAGCTGTGACTGAAAAAAGTAATACTTGTAAAAGGCTGCTCAATGAAAGAAGAAGTGTAATGTTATAATATCTTTCCAGTTACTAGATTATTATGAGATTTATTTTAGAAATAATGATTCTTGCTTTTTAAGGTTTTAAAACTTTACCAAGATCAGCTCTCGTTACCAGTGGCGTCTTACTAAATATATAAGCAAGACAATATTAACTGCTTGAGGTAAAAATAACAACATATTTTTCTGCATTTTTTGTAACTCCTTTCTTAGGAGTTAGGTAATTGCTATTATTGGGTATTATTTTGGGAAACAGAGAACAAATAACTAAGCATTTGCTATCAATAAATCAATTTGTATTTCCACTTCTAGTCCTTTTAAATTGCTAAAAAAAATATCACGAGGAGTTAGTAAGGCATTTCATAGCAGCAGCAGGTGCCATGGTGAAGCTTGCTCTATGGGCTTGTGAAGGAAGGAAAACCACCTTCATCGTCCTACCCTCAAAGGTAGTCTAATTTTTAAAATAAATAAATAAATAGGTACAGACAGAAGACCAAACATAATGAGAACAACAGTATATATTTTGGATGAAATAGAAAATACACATGCATAAAAGGCACAACAGAAACCATCTTTACCATACAGGTTGAGTATGAATTTTAAACTAATTCAAATTAAGTGCCAGGTGCAGATGTCTGCAGTCTGAGTCACATACTGAACCCTTTGCATCCAGAGACAGAGAGCTCAGCCAGAAGAAAAGGCCTTCCCTTCCCTTCCCTTGTTGCTTCTGGAATCTCTTAAGCCACGACTGGCTCCCGTTCTCAGCATTTGTTTCTCTGGCAGCCCTGTGCAAGCTTCCTCTGTCACGTCAGTCCTCAGTATGGATAATCTACATGTGATCAGCTGCCAGAAAGCTGAAACTTTCTCTGGTCCCTCCACCCCAAATTTATTGGCCCGCCCGCCCCTGCCTTCAGTTGCCATCCTTCCTTTTCTGCTCCTTGCCTTCTATGGCATTTTGCCTGTGAAAGTTCCTTCCCAAATCTGTTTGGCAGTCTACTCTGTAAGCCTCTCCATGCCAATATAAATCTGTCTAGTTCATCCAGCCATTTTGTGGTATGTAGTGAGCTTGAGCACTCTTTCCTGTTCAAATTTCTGGTTGCTGACCAGTTTTGACTGCTGACTATTTATTTAGCACATTTTGCTGCAAACCACCTTGATCACTCTGGCGGTAAGAAAAGAACAGAAATTTTGGAAGGGAGAAAGATTAAAAAAGAAAGAAGGAAACAATGAATCAGCAGCAGTAGATAATAGAATTCATCCTATCTACGGGGGCAGCACACTCATCATCTACTTTGCCCTTGATGCTGCCAATGGATGCCTCCACTAGCTGAATCAAGGTGCCTGGGACTGTGTTTTGGGTTATTCCACCATGTACAAGCAGGGACTGAATTCTGCTCCTTTGTACTAAGCACTTGTAAGAGTGGGCTGGAAGCTCAGCTGACATGGTGTTCTGACAATATTGTCTGTATAAAAACCCATGAATGTCAAAGCTGATTTCTCATCCCACCTTTGGAAAGAAAAATATGCTCTGAGAAACAAACAGAAATAAGAGAGAGCAGACATCACACTTTAGCAAAGGAACTCTGATCCAATTGTCCTTGGAGTAAAACTTGTTTTTTCCCCCCAAAAATAAAAAGAGGAAGAGTAATTCTTAGGAATGGTATTATGGTATTGGCCAAGACAAACACATACAGTTTATCTGACAGCTACTTTAGCAGTCACATTAGCCATATTCACACAAAACTCTAAGCCAGCATGGTTGAGAATTCTGGCTTACTGGTAATAAGCAGAGCTAGTACACTCCATGTGGTTATTCCCACTTAGTTCCTCAAGTAGGCACAGCTGAATAACCAGAAACTAACCAAGATGGAAACACATTGCATCCGAACCTGGACATCTGAATCTGAAACCTATTACATCCGAACCTGGTTTGTTGTTCCTTTACCAATCTTGGATCCATATGCCAACTGCAGACCCTAGCTTCAAATCCTGGCTTCAAACTTTGGCTTGTTGGGGTAGGTTTGGGGGACAAGCCAGAAGTGGATATAACACTATACTTTTTCACTCTGGAAAGTTTATGCTTATTTAGCCATCTCTGCTTGCAGGAGGACTCAAGCTGGAGTGATTAGACAGGGTGGAACTAACACACAGTTCCTTTCTGATAGGCCAGAATTCTCACCTATTTTGGCTTATCATTCTGCATGATTACAGCCACAGAAATCATTTTTATCTGAAATTCCCAGGGCATTTTTCTAGTTTTCTTATTTACAACCATGACTGAGCTTTAACTTTCCCCACACACAACAGGTTGAAGCATCTTAACACAACTTTAAAATACACATACAAACATGAGCGCAATTATTTAGTTTGTGATGCTGTGATGGTCACCATAACTTTCATGCCAAATCTTGGAAGAACTGAAGGAAGCGACATAGCAGAAAATAAAAAATTATCATTTTTCCTCCACGTGTACCAGTACCTTGTAGACCAGGAATTCTCAACCTGGGGTGCCCCAGGGTCATTTCAGGCAGCGGAACAAAGTGGAAGGCTGCACTGTGATGTTTTTCTCCAAATCTTAGCCCAAGAATAGAATTATTTATTATCATCTTGTTTGCATTTGGATTCATTTCTCTTTGTCAATCAAGACAAAATGTAAGAATCACCTGAATCCACAGGCAGACTTGCAGATCACAATCCAGCAAGGCAGTTCCATGCTTTGACAAAATCATGAATAGAAGCAGGATCAAAGAAGTCATCGAATATTATGTTCACAATTGGAATTGATTTTACTGTTTACTTTTTTTCTAATTGCTCAATTTATATTTGAATTTTATACATTGAGTTAAAAGCTTATTTTCTTAGTTCAATTTGTTCACTCACAGTACTGTTTCTGGTTCCAAATTTAGAAATCTGACTTCATCTTCAAATATGATATTACTATTATAGGGGGTGTGAACATAAATCAAACATTTTCCAGGATAAGCAAGTGTTTTCTTCTCTACAATGAGTGGTTCAGACAATATAGTAATGCTTGAGTGTGGGTTGCCATTGAACTATGGGTTCTCTTCATGGGTTCTTTGTGGTTAACATCCTATCATTTGTTAGTGCAGCTGGGCTAAGCAATATGAGAAGCCATGGTTCAATGACAACCCACCCTTAACCCATACTCAACTTCTGAGTGTGGGTTAAATGTTGTCCAAACCTTGCCACTATGTAGCATGCATGTCATATTCACTTTTCTTGTTCAAAGGTTTTAACTTACAGATATTTTAGATTTTCAAGATCTTCAAATGCTCCAGTTGGTATTCTTTTAATGTGATTGTTGTTTAGCAGTCTAAAAATAGGAAAAAAAGTAAACAAATATTTAATTATTTTCTCCTAGTGCATTTTCTGTGAGAAATTTTTTAAATACTGAGACAAGAAAGGGATGAATGCAGCACTGGAACAGCCTTCAACAATGTGGAATACGTCTTTTTAAAAACATGAAAGCAGCAACCTACAGATGAATAATTTTAACGACATTTTCTTGGTTTACATAAAAGTATTGGCCAACTATGGATTTTTTACTCCTTTCTTATGGGCCAGCATGACTTATTCTGCATTTTGTGCTTAGCGAGTATCTCATTTAGTTATTCAGGAGCACAATCTTAAAACTTAAGATTTGCAACTAATACCTGAAGATGGGATTTATTTTTTGAGAGTTTAATTCCATACAACCAGTAGATGACCCCACCCAATCTGGCTCTGCTTGATTTTTCTACCTACTATACCACCAAAAATTAAGGTTCACAGCCACTAGTATGAAAACTACTCTATTATTCTTACTTCTGTTCTCTACTTAACAAGAAGCATGTGCTTAATAACATAAAACTGGTCAAAGATCCAGCTTAATAACTATATTTTATATTTTCAAAAATGTGGAAATCAACCATGGTTTGCTTCTTTTGTCTAGCAGTCCTACTAGGTGAAACCAAAAACTTACAGGACACCCAGGATAAACTGATCCATTTATGTCTGGTATCACCTTCTACATTCCATATTAAACTTTTTCTGGAATGGGGCAGGCCCATGGAGGTCACGGAAGACATGGTGGGCCCTGCTTGGAGATGAACAGCAACGCCGTTTGCGGCAGGGAACCTTTCAGTAGGCCCAGACCATTGGGGCACCTTGTGGCTATTGATAATGGCTGAAAAATAGTCTGTAGATTGTCAGATCTGCTTTTTCAGCAAAAACAGTTCATGCCTGTTATCATGCCATGATAATTTACAGTGGCTTAACAATGTTATCTACATTCTCTGGCTTTATATATTTAAATGCACATTGGTGGACCATGGGAAATCTACTTGTTACTCTTTTTAAGGCAGACTACTACTGAGTTCAATCAATGCTTGCAAAAGAAAAGTATAGCTGTACAATAATTTTAAGTTTTAAATCACATTTTCATCTTCCACACTAACAAATTTAAATTTTTCACCACCATAAGACTTTTTATAGTCTTAGTGCAGATTCTCAAAAGTTATAACTAAACATTAAAAACAGAAAAAACATGATAATCAGCATTATTTATACATTACTTGAAATACAAAGAGAGACAAATCTCATCAGTCTTACTGAAGTTAACCTAAAGAAGAGACAGTTGTTTACAAAAGGGAAGGTAACTTCTGGAAGGGATAAAACTTACAATGTGTTCAGATTTTTAAGCCGCCTAAATGCACCAGGCTGAATTTCTTTAATTCTATTAAACCGCAGATCCCTGTTAAGGGGAAAAAACTCATTAGTAACAAAATTACCATTTCAGGGTTTTCTGCATTTTTAATTTTAAAAACTTTGCTACCAACTTCCATATCTACATACTTTCCACCAGTCTAATCAAAATATTCTTTTGTAAAGAAAATGAAACTTATTTTATGATCTTAGACATATTTTTAAAAAACACATAAGTAAAATCATGTCCAGAATTTAGCTGAAAAACAAGCAAGCAAAAAAAAAAAAAAGTTTGTGACAGCTCAAACTCTGAAAATTGTCACCAAACTAAGTGTGGTATAAAATCATTAAGTGCTTTCATGTTGAAGCAGAGCAAACTTAATCTAACTGACACAATTTTCAGAAATCTACCCTGTTAGTAACCAAGTCTATCACAGCAATAAAGAGCTAAATAATGCCTTTGTTTACTTCTGTTAGTATGACATTTTGGTCATCAAATTACTAATAAATATTGGGAAGTTCAATAAGAATAGTACAAATATTGTGACTCTGCAAGGTCAATTACTTTAAAAGGATATAATTATGCTTCCATTTCACCTAATTAAAATAGTTGTGCATGATATGGCTAAATGCAAGGCAGACACACTAGGAACCTCTAGGTCAAAATGCTGTATAGAGATATCTAAACTAGAATGGTTTGCATATGATTTCTCAAGAAACAATCAGCCCACTCATATCTTTAAATATTTATATGCATCTAAATGATCCAGACAAAACTTAATGACATGGAAAGGCTGTCTTTATCTTTCCCTCCATCTCATCACAAGGCTTCCTTCCCAATCTGCCTTACAGTAAACATTTTTTACAACTGTTACAAGGGGTGGCCACAAAAACAAAACAAAAAACAAAACCCCTTCCTGAACCGCACTATATTGGGTAATTTCCAGCCAGTCTTCAATATCCATTCCTGGGCAAAGTGTTCAAGGATGTAGTTGATCTAAGCTCCAGGTGTTCCTGAATTAAAGAGATCTTCTACATCCATTTCAATCATGCTTGTCTTCAGCCAAGTAACAGACAGTGCTTGAGCTGTTCTGGTGGTCCCAAGTTAGCGCCTAAGCAGGGCAATGGATCATGCCAAACCAACAAGTCCAGACCACAACAAAGTGAAGCTCAGTCCATCCAGTGGATGGTTTTGAATAATGGTCAACCTTTTCTAGAAGAGACTGATCAAGTGTACATTGTTTAGGACACAGTCACACCTTTTGTCAGCTTAGGGGCTGCAGCCCTACCTGGGCACAAATAACCTGGAAATAGTAATCCATGCTCAAGTTGGATTAGGCCAATGGCCTAGCCATGGGACTGCCTTTGAAAATGGTTTGGAAACTTCAGTTAGTCCCAAATAGAGCTACTAAGCTCATCTGATATTACACACATGTAATCCCCGTGTCTCATTGTTTCCACAGTTTCCACACTGTTTCCAGGGCAAATTCAATTAATTGGCATTTGCATCTTTAAAGCGCTAAGAGCTTGGAGCCAGTCTCCCTACCTGTGTGTTCTCTGATCCTTGGGGCATCTTCAGAGGCTACCCACCAGATGCCCTGACTAAATGAAGTTAAGTGGCTGGCTATAAAGGAGGGCTTTTTTAGTTGTGGCTCCTTGCTTACAGAATGCTGTCCTGTTATCTTTACAATGGCAAAGATCTACTCCCAGGCATTTTCAACTCTAGAATATTTAAGTGCCCACTTTTATTAATTCTACACTGCATTTTTATTTCCTGTGCAGATTACTGTTATAACTGGTTGCATATGTTTCACACAGTGTTCTTTTTTACTATAATGTTATCTGTCTAAAGAACTTTGGGCAGTCTTAAAAATGAAATATGAGCTGCATGTTTGTGTGAAATTGTTGGGAGGGTCATCTTTGTTCCCCCATTATGCTGATGACACCCAACTCTCTCTCTCCTCTTCATCAAAATCCAAAGATGCTTCTGGAATTCTAGAACAGTATCTAATAAAAGTTTGACCCAGGGACGACAGAGATGTTCCTGGCTTGTTGGAAGGAAATAAAAGAGTCAAACCTGTCTGGGATGGGGTTACACTTCCCCTGAACACTCAGGTGCAGTTGGGTGTAGACTTGGTTCTGGATGCTCAGGTCTCGGCAGCAGCCAAGGGTGTGCCTGCACAGCCAAAGCTAGTCTTCCAACTGCACCTGTTCCTACTGATTTCAGATCTGGCCACAGTGGCCCACACCATAGTTACATCCTGTTGAGACCACTGTAACACACTCTGCCTTGGAGAAGTATACAGAAACTTCAGCTGATCCAGAATCCTACAGTCAGACTATTGACTGGAGCTGCTTACACAGAACATGTGATTGCCTTGCCGAACCAGCTTCACTGGCTAAATATCCATTTTTGGATGCAATTCAGGCTTTGCCTATGAAGCTCTACACAAAATGGGAACCAGTTGTATTTTTAAGATTTTTTTTAACTATTAAGCTCATTTGTTTTGTCCACTTAGAGCCATATTTTGCGCTGGAAAGGTGAGATACAAATTTAAGAAGCAAAGACATGACCTCACAATGATCTGTCTTGTGAAGAGTTCAACAGATGTTCACTGTACCCTATTACTTGCCAGACTTGAAGCCTGAAGCCTGCTAAGTATATGTTGTGCAGGGATTTAAAATGTGTGTCAAACATGTTTGGTTTCTAGTGCTTTCAAAATGAAGATTTCACACATGATTGGCTGAAAGTAATTGTGTCTTGGTGGGGAAAACCAGTTGTGCAGAAGTGGTTTTCAAATCAGTGGAGGGGAACAGGTAATATTAGAAACAAAACAGATTCAAAATCACAACTATTACATCAAATTAGTCAATCTTTAAGTAAAACCATGAGCTTAATAACAACATGAAAAATTGGGAAATGTATATAGCTTTTGGCAGTGACAGCTGGAATGCACCAGCATACTTTCCATATACTGATATCTTCAAAATCTTGGAACCAAGTAAATCAGGGAGGTTTATGTTTTCTTTGGACACTCTTTGTTCTTCCATTAAAAAAACTGCCTGGAGGGCAAACTTATCTTTATGCAGATGCCAAGAGTCAGACATGATATATAATCTCATCTCCTTTGTTTCTGCTTTTGTCTTGTTCCTGGGGGGTCAACACAAAAGTGAACCTTGATAAATTCTTTACTCCCTTCACTTGCTCACAGAGCAAACTACAAAACAACTTTAGTGTTTCACAGTTTCATAGCATATTTCACAGAAAGTACAGAGACCAAGGTTTTCCATTCAAGATTTACTATATCAGAAATAAAGTATGCTTTTAAAAAAGGAAAAACGGGAGAAAGAAAGAAAAAAGATTTGCTCGGTTCAGGATCATCGCTAAAGAAAGGTCACTGAGGTGTTTCCAAAATAATTTTTAATCATCCTCTAATCCACTGTATCATATTTACAAAAGATATTTAGGCATAACTTTGCAAAATGCTAATTGTTAACACTTCCCCTCCAAAGTAATACATAGCTAACAAATATAAAATCTGCACTTACGAAACTATTTTGGACATAAGGTAAGCGGAACTTTGCTCATTATTTCAAATTCTTGTGTGCTTATTTTTTATAATCACAATACTTCGGTAGGTTAGCCAAGACTTGTTCTTAAATTAACCCCTCAGGATTTTGTTCAACTTTGTAGACTCCTGTTTTTTAACAATACCATTCACAATGTTGAAGTCAACAAACTTGGTAGTAACTGATGGCTACCATCCCTTTCTGTAGCCCTAGCTTCCAATTAAATTAAACCCAGTCCAAGCTCCTTTACATCAGGGGAATCTCTCTCGTTTTCTCAAGTTTAACTGGGGTGGAAACAGGATGTAGATATAATTTTTACAACCAAGATGAGACCTCAGCCTAGTGTAAAACTTAAGTCATTTATACACTGTAGTTCCATAACTAATATACTAGAAAATAGTTGCAAATAGTGAAGTAAATATGTAACAGACATCCCTCTCCTAGCTCAGGGTAGCGGAATTTCATGTATTCAGGATTTCGACCTCTAATGGAACCTGTTTACATATGTTGCCAGACTTAATTTTATAAAGAAAGCATGCAAAAGAACTGTAATTGCCTCATATTTCTAAAAACTTCAAAACTATGGACAGACTATTTATCACACAACATGGTTCACAGAATTTTAGGCTTCCTGGTTAGTACTGAGGCATGTGAGTTATATACGTATGAATTTTTAGTTCAACATATAAAACAGACATCTTTAAACAAATATTTCATCTATTCACCATGAAACAAATATTTCTAGCCTTATCAAAATTTTATAAAACTGAAACAGTCTCATAACGTGGCATGTTTCAGACTCCTTTCCTACAGCTTAGTTATGCTTTCTCATGCTCAGGTATAAATTTGCGGCAGACTGTCAAATGCGTAAAGTGCCTTGAAACCAGCTCTCTTGCACTGTTACAAACTCGCATGTGTTTCTGTAGTGTTGTTCTTGTAAAATCATTGCTTTTCTTTAACTTAAGCATACCCATTTGTCTATCTAGGCTTTGATGATGTCATTCCAGGCTCCTACCACACTGCCTGAATTTCAACTGTTCAGCACGGATGGGGGGTTTTCTGAACTGGAAAATTTTCCAGTGCTCTAAATGTCTGTATTTTCTCTACTGCCCAATAGTTGAAGCAGTTTCAGTAGTTTACAACAACACATAAACATATAATAGAAAATGCAAATGGAAATAACAACATCATACAAGATTACCAAATGAAAATTTTAACCAAACTTAAAACAAATATTAAATGCCGCAAAGTCTTATAAAAATTAAATCATAAGACCTGATTAAACAGCTAACAAAGCCCCAATATAATAGCAAACAAATAATAATCCTGAGGTAGAAAACAGTCCTAACTTGGCACCAAAAGGATATTAAAGTTGGTGCCAGGTGGGTCTCAGTGGGGAGATAGTTCTATAACTTGGGGGCCTGCAATGAAATGGCCCTCCTCCTGGTTGCCACCAATCAAATCTTCCTTGGAAATGGT